CTACAGGCACGGAAAAAATGAAAATTTACCACATTTGTTAATTTGTTAGAGTGGGTTATTGAGAATATGTTCTTAGTTTCCCAGAGCTCACTAATATTTACTTCTAAAATAAAATTATGGTGTTCAACAGTTCAATTTTATCCTTTTCCCAAATTTTTAACTTGAGGTGATTTGTAAGTAACGGAATTTAAAAAGTCTATGTGTTTCTCTGAAACCTAAGGATATTCAGGTTGAATTTAAGTTTTCAATAAGCAAAGAATTGTCTAGAAATGGAAGTAGTCCACAACTGTCATTAATATGGACTCCATCAAAAACTGTGGTAAAGTGTCACAAAAATAATTCGAATAGGTAGGTACCTACCGTAAATGTATGTAATATGTCTATATTATCATGGATTATTTTTATGTTTGATTTTAAGTAGTATATATTGGTTTTACAGCGCCTTACGCCTTCCGATTCCTAGCTTCCATCCTCTTCGGTTTCCCAGTCTCCTGATTTTAGGTTATGTTCAGACATTGCTTTCTGTATTCCGCCCATTCAAATTGGCTTGGGTCTTCCTCTTTTTCTCCTTTCCAGCGGTATCCATTTTAAAATTTCTTTGGGAATGCGCTCTTCATTCGTTCTTTAAATATGGCCATACCACATTAACTGTCGCCTTTGTATTTCATCAATTATTTTATTTATTTATTTAGGTTGTAGTGCAAAGTATTCAATAATTACAGAGGCATTACAAGTTTAGCCTAACATAAATATTAACTCTAATAAAAAACAACAAGAGAATGGGAAAAGACTGAAATTAATAATTATGGTTAATCGAGCAATAACGTTTGTAATAGATTGTGAAAGAGGAGGGTATAAATCAAATGAGTTGGAAATTTTAACTTAGAATTACTGAGAAAGAGAAATACAAATCTTGAAAGTAACCTTCTATCAATTCGAAATTAACAATAACATCGAATTAATTTTTGTTTGAAATTTCTCGCTATCAACAAAAATTTAAAGGCAAAAATATCAATTAAAAAAATTATCACAATTATTTTATGCACATAAAATTTTGTTCAGGTGACAACTAAACACAAATGTTATTATTTTTGTTAGGGGAGGGCAAAACCAATGTCGATTCCCTCAGTGGTTGCTCCACGTACAAAGCCGCATTAAAGCTCCATTTTATTTATCTACCTTTACTTTAAAAGTAAAACGTAATTTAAAACGCCTCTATCTCCAAATCCTCATTGATCCCTACATATATCTGACGAGCAAATAAGATTCCTTTGCTTACTTACAAAGTCGGTCGAATAAAAGACCAATTACTCGGCTTTCGTCTTCGAAGCGACCTCATATCTGCTCATTCCATTTGCCCGCAGCCTATGAAAGTATGCATGAGGCACCCAGCTAAAACAATGACTTCGAGACGGAGGTTTTTCAAACAGAACAAGAATAAGTAAGGATTTCAATCAAACGAAATGAACTCATGACTTTATGCAAGAGATGGGCGAACTCCGACCGTTTGCGGTATGCCCCGTGAAACCCCTCTTTCGAGCAGGTCCGTAGTTATCTTTTAACGAACCTACATATTAGCACTTTGCTTCTCTAGTTGACTAGTTGACAGCAGTTTGTCGACACTTCGAAAGATTTTAAATATTTTTATATTTCCACGAAGGCCATTGGACATTTCTGCAATTAAAGTAAATGGTTTTCGGATCTTGCGTGCAGATTGCGAAGTTTTGAATGAATTTTTGAGCACCCCTGATCAAAAATTGCTTGTAAAGGTCCTGATCGGCTCAAGTTTGATCCTACCAAAAGCATGGTAAGGCAGGCCAACCAATATCAACAACTCAGTTACATGTCAACTACTGAAAGTATCTGTGAGCCGACCAATTCATTGAAGTTATACAGAGTTCCTGCTTCCGGATAGATGTGGTAACATTCTATTCAACATTAGCGGAAATATACACAACTACATCTCGAATTATTTGCAAATTTAAAATTACTATCCGCCATTTTTAGGTCCATGAAGAAATCTTAATAGCACAAACTCTATATTCTTTGAAGTAGGTATCTATTACTATTGAAAGAAATATTATTCGCTTGGTTAACGCCAAAGACTATCAAAGGAGTCAGATACTTTGAGTTGTTTGACATTTCGAATTTGGACGTATAATTTGGCTGTTGATATTTTTGTTTTGCCCATGGAATAACCAGCTGATAAGTTACAGCTACGATAAAGTTGTGATATTTCCCACATCGTGATTGGCTGAACCAAATCTTAGAAAGTCCGTTATATTGCCACAAGCATGGGTACTACACCACTCTTAATTGTTTGTTTATGTTGGCTGCCTGTTTCGAATCATTTTATGAATGAATCGCCATGTCTACTTTGGACATGGCACGGCTGACGTCTGGAACCAACGTTCTGTTTGGAAATTTTAAAAAACAACTTATCCAAACTCCAAAAATCTTAATTAATAACTCAATAACGATATGGCACATTCCATTAAAAAATAGTCGGGGTCAATAAAAACAAACATTTTTGAATTTAAAAATTTTCTCTAACCTGTAACAACGTGACCGTAAAAATATAAACAGAAGGAGCTTATTGAGAGTCCACAATATAATGACATAAAAATTAACTGTATTTTTTACACAGATTTTCTTAAAACAGACACGCTAATATCAATGTGATTGTTACATATGTGCATAGATACTATGAAAATACATTTATGTTTGCTTTAGCGGAGACTTTCATATCAGCAATATTACAGAAGTATTACATCAAGAAAGCTATTTTTACAAAGAAACTTTGCTTCTTCAGAGCTTTGATTGACAACTGCTTGTTAGTTTATTTGTTGTAGTATTAAGAACATGAAAGAGCCTTAAAACTTCGATAAATAAACTCATCATCAAACCGGATATAAAATCTTATTGGATAAAATTTTTTTTGCATCTAAATCGATTCTATCAATTAATCTATAAGCAACCAAACAATCTTAACCGACGCAGAATGAGTACAGAAGATTTGTAAGTAGTATCAGGAAGGCTAATATTTTCGTTCAGTTATTTTAAAATATCCAAAGCGGTACCCGATATAAATTAAATAAACAGCAGTCCAAATAACCAAAGCTTTCGTATAACCACTCTATCAAGTTTTCTGCTGTCATACTTTTTATAAAACTTCTGGATTCCTCCCGCGTCGGTTTTTGTTGAGTCGAACTAGCTAACGTTTCGCCAATTATCCTGTTGGCCTCTTCAGAGCTTGACTGAAACAGTTTCAGAAAAATTCCTTATGAAAATATGAAAGAAAATTAACCATACACCATTAAAGTAGTAAACAGGTGAGGAATCCACTTAAGTCCAGACGAATGTAGATTGGGAGAAGGCAAGTCGCGAAAATTTAGAGGATTATGTTGCAAAGCACCCGGATTAACCGACGACGACGCGCAGCAGTCCTAAAAATTTTAAATATTCCGGGACAACCGTCCCCAGCACCAATTTTTCTTCTTTTAGGAATGCAATTAGGAAATAAAACCAACGTAAATCTTAATTTAACTGCTTTTAGCGGGGCTAACCCGTCTGACCGTTTTAATGAAGTACTTTAAAACTTTATATTTTCAAAGTCAGTCCAATATTTAGAATATTCTTGCATTTTATTTGAAGCAAAATATTATTTAAAAAAGCTTGGTTCCTTAACTTATCTAATTTTATTTCAAGACTCCCCTATAACTTATTATTCGCAGTCAAAGTTAAAAATGAACATTACCTATTTAATAACATTTTGCCTTGCAAAATAAAAATTAATTTGGTACTATTCGGTACCAGTATATGATCGATATCGAGATCAAATGGTACGCTGTAACAATCAATTTTCTTTTTTTGTCTGTTTCAAATCAAATATTAGATTACTCCGTTATTGTGGAACTTTACTTCTTTCACAATTCCCTAAATAAGTTTTACATTAAGTTTGATTATTTGAATTATTTTTCCATTATTCGAAACTTTAACATAAATTAAGTATTTTGTACAGTTTATATAAACTGGAAAGTTTCGATATTTATAACCAGAGCAAATAATCCCTCGCATTCTCTTGATGTAGCCGAGCGTATCAAATACGTTCATTTATCTTAATATAAACAGGTCTTCGGACCCCACAATGTCAATTTCTCTCGAGGGAACCCCAATTAGGTATCTAGTGCTATAAAAATTTCTTGTGTCTCCTATTAGTTTCGATTTGACAGAATTCTGCTTTCACTTCACCAACAGGATAGTTCAAGTGGAACAGCATATTAAAAATACCGTACAAAACATTGGATTATCACTAAAAATACGGACATTAAAGTAAAAGTACTTAATTACACGATTTTTGGTAAAAAAAATTATAAGAAAGGTATTTAGAAATATTTACGGCATCTAAATTAGATATAGTGTTTTTTTTTCGGGTAGCTTTGGTTAGTTTGGCTACCTTTGTTAAAATAGTCATCAGTCAGTTATCATCTATTTTGCACCTAAATTTTAAAAAAAGTCATGTGTTAGTTCCCAGGGTGGGACGCTCAATATGATTCATCCTGTATACGCCAACATATTTCTGCAATTTTCGTTTTTAGAAGGTTATTTATATCTTAATACGTATAAACATATATTCATTCTAATAAATAGAATTGAACTGTGAAATTTAATTCCTAATGTTAATCCCATATGCCCTCGTAAAAAGAGTCAAATTTTCAACTGGCAAAAAGTTGATACTTTGATACTTTGGCTTTTGAACGAATTCGACATCGTTAGTTAGCAAAAGATTCAGCACCATCTTACGGTCCCAGCCAGCATTACTTACTAAAACACCGGGAGTAGGATTCTTTACCGAGAAATCTCGAATTAAGCATTATTGATTAACGTTTCCCAACACCAGATGTAAATAATACTTCTTTCCCTATGAAAATTTGGGAATGCATTCAATGGTCGTATTAATTGGGTTTAAATTAGAAAGAAGAATAGCAAAAAATGCAAGGTATATATTTGAAACAATGTTGGACATTTTACCAATTAAATCTACAGTTAATATCACAATGTAAAAAATTAATGCCTGCCCAAAAAAGTGAACATTACGTTTGAATAGCAATTATGTTTGTGGGCATAGTTTCCTTTTGTTTATTTAATTACACCATTAGTTATACAGCGTGGTTCATGTTGCGTGTTTTACTAAAAATTCTGGCGAATTAACACATTGTTAAGAAACATTTTTTCAAAAATTCTCAGTTTAAAGTAGCAATTTGGAGCTTTGTAAAATTCTTCTAGAAAATAGACTATAAAGCTGTCATACATGTCCAAAACTTCTTAACAGATACTTAACGTGAACCACCATAGAAAATTAAATACTTAGGAATACGTTTTGGCACTGGTTTTCCCTATACATACGTAGAGTACTAACCACAAAAGTAGGATTTTTTCTAAAAATAAGTTTTTTTACTTCCAACTTGTGCCAAGTCCACATTTCTCTTCTCCAGATCTACGCTAATAGGTCTTGTGTCAAAATGGCTCGAATTCAATTCACCAACGTTCATAAAAAATGTCGTCGCGTTGTGAACCTCCTCCTTCTTGGGAGTGTTGAGACATTTCCTAGCCCTACATTTAAAATAAACTGTGCCAGCAATTGCAGCTAGAAAGTTTAAAAGTGACATAGTCGTTGAAGTTATCGGAAAATTGAAGTTTTCCAGCAAGGTTCCACCCAAAACTGGTCCTATAAATTCACCCAATGAGTAAATTGACGACCACAATCCTGCTATTACGCTGTGGGTTCCTATGCAGTCCGAGAATCCATTTTCTCTAAAATTAAAATAATAAGGCAAAAAAACAAAATGAGCATATGGCAAATTCACTCACAAAGAGCTATCCAATAGAAACTGGTAAGTCGGCATCAGTGTCATAGCGATGAAAATTCCTAGTATCGCCAATGTCACGATGTTTAGCGCTATTGAGCTAAAACCAAACGTGCGTCGATAAAATAAAAACTAAGCTTCAAATCGATAGCTAAAAAAGTTTATTACCTTTTCTTTCTCTGTTGACTGTAAAAGTTCAACAGTATTAAGTAACTATACAATAATTCCACAGTTCTGGAAAACGGTTAGAACATATATGGTTTGCAAAAAAAAAGTGAAAATTCTTAACCGAGTTTTGCTTTCTACCGTTAGACAAAAAAGCCCAAGATCAACTACGAGGTGTGTTCAAAAAGTAACGTGACTTTTGTAATTGGGCCAGCTACGTCCTTTCGATCTTCGATATTTTTTTTATATTGGACATGTCTCTAACATATGTTAGACGTGTTTTGTGTGCTCGGCGATTTTCTACCGGAAAAAAAATGGCACAAAGAATTTGCATAAAATTTTGCGGAAAATATGGAATACAGTGTTGCAAAACAATTGAAATGTTGACAACGACATATGGTGAATCTACTTTGAGCAAAAAAAATGTTTATAAGTTGTTCCAAGATGGCATAGAAGACGCCGATGACAAACCTCGCTCTGGACGCCCCAGCACGTCAATATCTGAATATCTCAAAGCGTCGAAGAAGTGAAACAAAAATCGTCGAATCACTGTTAGAGAAGTGGCTGAACTGATTAATTCTGAACAAAAAGACCGTCGAAGGAGCATCGCTCAGGAACTGTTAAACGACGTCAATGCTTATCCTAATATGCTAAAAAAGTTCATAATTGGTGACGCATCACGGGTATATGGTTATAATGTCGAAACCGGAGCCCAGTTGTCCCAATGGAAGCACCCAGAATCGCCAATGCCGAAAAAGAGCGCCATGTTCAATCAAATGTCAAGGTTTTGCTTACTGTTTTCTTTAATTATAGCAGCGTAGTACATCAAGAGTTCTTACCATAAGGTCGTACGGTCAATAAAGAGTATTACCTTGAAGTTATGCGCCGTTTGCGAGAAGAAATACGAAGAAAAAGTCCGATCACGATAATGCACCGGCTTACTTATCGTTGCTTGTGTCTAACTTCTTGATCACACATGCTTCAACCACCATATTCACCGGGTATGGTCCCCTGCGACTTTTTCCTTTTCCCAGAAGTCAAGAAACACATGAAAGCAAGGAGGTTTGGAACGATTGAGGAGAGAAAGAAAAAGTCGCTGCAAGAACTCAAGGCAATACCAGAAAATGTTTACCAGAAGTGGGGGAGGGTTACTTTGAAACGGATAAAATTAACTTTGATGAATAAATAAATACCTTTTGATAAAACGTAAAATTCACCTTACTTTTCGAACACACCTCGTATATTACGAGTTGCAAGTAGCAATAATGTGAATTTAGATTATAAAAATAAATATGGCAATCGAAATTAAAAGAATATTTTATTATAGGCTGTGTGCATTTTTTTCGCAATTAACTAATTTCATAATTATCCTAAAAAAGTATGTTAAAAATATAGTTACTAATGAAATGAAAGTTTTGATAGCCTCATCATTTTTAAGAGACGGTGTGTATTTTTTGCAATTAACTAATTTTAAAATTGTCAAAAAAAATTACACAGAAAAAATTGTTATTAATAAAATGAAGTATTTAAATATGTATTTATCATTTTTAAGAGGGTACAAAACTCAACTCTAACAATATTTTTGTCGAAGTTATTAAGTCAAAAAATTATATTTGTTTAGTTAGTTTTGGGTTTGGTAGACTTTTTTGGATCAACAAAACCTTTCCTCCTTCTTCATATCAACCCACAGAATCTCCCAAGAAAAATAGGAGACTCATTTCAATTTTTTACCATAACTTGTGGTAACTTGAAGGGAAAGAACTTTTGAATAACCAGTAATATATCTTAAACTGTCTTATGAAACCATCTAGAACTAAGTGGTAAAATATGTAACTTACTCCTCTAAAAACGGAAACAAAGGTGATGGTCCCAAAAAGAGAAGCACCACTGAATTGCAGAATAGGCCCGTTGTCATCAGCCAAGAGTAGTTATCAATTCTGTCCGTCAACCATCCCCATATCGGACTACAAACGCCGTAAGTCGCTGATAATATTAAGAAGAACAATCCAATCTGACTTGGGGACAAATTAAACTGAAAAATAAATTAGAAGAAATTGCCCACAAAATGAGGATGCCGCTAATATTTGGAGGTGATCTGGCAATATTTAGAGACTGTATCAGTTTCATAATGTAAACATTACCTTTAGGTTGCTGAAATTTTGAAGAAATTGCCAAATCACCTTCGAAATGGCTTCTATACCTTTCTTAAATGCGGCTCCAAAGTCGGTTCCAAAAACGAAGACGTTATAGAATTTACTATCAGTACTATGGACGTTACTAGTACTGCTGGAAGTTTCAGAAGATCGAGCAGCGACCCACACTTTTCCACTTCGTGCTCTAAAGAATATTAACGAAAATCAGTGCATGTAAATGAAAGCTTTTCTATATTACCACAATGTACTTAATTTGTTTATCATTCAACGGATTTCAGTAGTTTTCTTATTCACCTAGCAAAACTTCAATGACTTTATTTTAGGATCCGCATTCTCCGGAAATAACAAATACATAATAACTCACACTGAACAATGTGAACCCCACATCGCTTAGATTTACTACGAGTATGTAATTTAACTAGACGCTAGTTTTGCATGGTTCTCACTCTTGGGATTTGTTAAGGAAATGGCGAACTCGTTTTAATTAGATAAAGCATAAACAGCTGACGGGAATGGTAATAATTAGCTGTTATTAACAAGGATAGCGTTCTGTCTCAAAATTAAATTAACAATTTAATTGAGTTAAGTGTATTTATTACTGAAGCAATTTTATCTGACGCTGGCGGGCGAAAATTATATATACGAATGTACAAAATTTATAATAATTATATTGTTGTTTAAAAAAATGCCTTTTTTTATTTATCAGGTAGTGTTGAATAAATATATAATTTCCTACATTATTAAAAACAATTACGGCCCATCGGCAACAGTTACGTCAACATTTTGCAACTGAAAACATCCTGTTGCCATTTAAAAATCGCCATATTTCGTCGACAGTAAGCGCCAAACATTTTCAAATTATCTGATAACACTTACTTTCAGGTGTGGGAAGTAGATACATATTAGTCAGCGCAATTATTATTGTAACGATTCCAACAACGTAGAATGGCATTCCAAAACCTCCAATCTTCCTGGAAAAAATCCAATCAAGTTGAAACTTCACCAAATATTAGGAGACTTAGTTATTGCCAATATTTATTTATTGTATTCTTTTAGAACGTCTCCTAGCAACTTAAAAATTATTTTTTAATGCGCTCCATTTGCGTTTAATACTAATAAATTGACTCCAGTTACAGTTTGCAAAAGAATAATTTGACTCTCTTTTTGTGAAGTTCTTTGTCGCAGCGAAACGACCTTCTAAAACTTACCGCATACAACACTCCTCCGATTCCGGGTCCTGCACTTAACCCAAGGCCAACAAAAGTTTCCAGAAGACCCTTAAAATCAAATTCGAGCAAGGTATTACTTAAATTTGTTCATCATCAACATTTACTTATCAACCAATAAGATATGGTAGACGTCGTATATATGCATATTTGGGCATTTTTAGTCCTTTGTCATGTTTTTTAATGCTCTTCTGATGCAATTGTTAAATACAATACAATTAACTCTGGATTATAAAGAGCTTTAATACAAATTTAAGAAATTTTTAACACATATTGACTGGATCTACAGATTTCTTTTCTTAATTAATTTTTAACAACTTGAACTTTCGTATCCACGCTTTAGATATGGTGGCAAAATATACGGGGAAGTGTTGTAAACATTACCTTATTCAAAATTGAATTTGACAACGTCGCTCTAATTAAAATACTTGAATAAAATCCTAAATTTGGAGCATTTGTTTAGTTTATGACCCCATTTAGAAAATTATGGTAATTATACGAAGAAAATGCTAAGATCCGTGCATTCCTTTAAATCTTATCTTTAAGGTAAGCAAAAATATCCGCAAGCTACAAATTGTATGCAAACTTAGCTCCTGCAAATATGCAAATAAAATTCTTTGAAAGTGGATGATTAATTTCAAACCTAAAGCTTTGCTGACTTACTCTCACGGCCCCTGCATTATCAGGAAATATGTCAACTATAATGACATAGCCAGCAGTGGCGTAGGCGCTGGCCCCTAAAGCTTCAAAACCTCTAATCAGAAATGAGGCGACGACAAAGATCTGGTTGTTGGCTATTCGATCTAATAATCTACAAAAAACGAAGATCTAACTTTCAATACCTAGCACAACGTATTTTAGAACATACTGTAACAAAAAAATGTATCTTATAAAGTTTCTTAAACATGCTAAATATGTAAAACTTCGCAGTTATTTTGAAAATGGGCAAAAATTTAATGCATAACAAAAATGTTGAGATGTGCAAATAGTTTCTACATAATTTCTTTTATAACCATTTATAACTTACCCAAAAAGTCCATTCGATATCCCCGAAATAAACAGTCCAAATATAAATAAGAACTTTGCACCGGATTTTGGCAACTGTGAAATAAAGTCACTTGGTAAATTGTCAAAAAAAACTTTCAGTAGTTCTTACCGTTTTTCCAAACAACGGGGAAGATAGAAACACGACGAGAGCGTAAAATCCAAATACGAACCCCGCCATGGATTCGCTGAACCCTTTCTGGGCTACTTCAACGGGGTAAAATGGAGCCATAATCGACATGGAGCAAAAACAGATAAAATCTGCAGCAGCTAGCAAAATCAACGTAAGTTTTTGTTTGAAGGTGAATTTTGTCTTCTTCCTATAATGAAAGCTAAATAAACATCGATAAAACGGAGGAAGATTATTTAAAAAAGTCTCGATACCCCGCGAAATAATTTACGCAGATTTGTTATTATATCAGGTTTTGTTTATGTCCTCAGAACACAGACGTCCTTGCCAAGTCTCAAGTTGAACGAACCGGAAATCCTCGGTCATCCGACACTTTTTGGCGTTTTCCTTTTTTTTTGCATTACTACGAAAAATACCAGTTTATTCTTAAATTGATGGCTGCGTCGCTTTAAGGATTAAATTTTAATGAGGTACGCTTGTCAAGTTGTTTTGAACTAAGGTAAACAAGTGACGAGTTTTGAAGTTCAACATTTCGCGCACAAATCGTCAGCAAGACGAATCTAAAAAGCGGTTGTGATAATTTACCTTACACTTTCGGTCAAAAAACTTATCAAAGCCAAAAAATGTACTGAACAAAACCACTGAAAAGTAGTTTTTGCTCCTGCGGCCTGTTTGGAATTCGGTCTATAGTCGTTGAAAAGAAAACATCATATTGGACACAAGTTCAACATAAAAAGTTTCAACGACATAAGGTTTAACAAAAATAACTGTATATATAATTTTAAATCATCCATAAAAGCCTGAACGTTCACATACTCAATGTCTCAATGATGGTTTTTTTCTGGAAAATCCAAAATTACCAATATGAAACCTTCCACATGGCCTTTAAATCTAACAATCTAAAAAAATTAAGTGGTCCGTTGATGAATCGAAAGTTTTTCTCGTTAATCATTTCCTCTGTTCTTATTTCTTCTCTATTCTTTCAGGTTGACTATCCCAAAAATCTGAGAGGGAAAGTCCGATTAATATAAATTTTAAGAAATTTAAATATAAACCTTAAATATTTTTCATGCCTATAATACTAAATTATGCCACAAGTTTGATAAGTGGCACTTTAGTCCCGAGTTCGTTTAGGCACAAAACAAACTAATCAACGGCATCCTTGAATCCCAGGTGCACCAACTATGAAAAATGCAAATCTTTTCCGTAAAAGTGCATGTTTGGTGTGTAATTAAGTACCATAGTATATATACCTTTGTTTAAAGAATTTTTCGCGAAATATCTCGCGGCTGTAATAACATTTTTTAGAAAATATCGCTACTTGAGTAAGCAAAATCGCTAAAAATGAGTAAATCAAAAATAGAAATAATGGAAGGAATTATAGGAATGATTCTATACATTTTTTATTAAATATCAATTATCTCTATGGCAAGTGTTCGAATATTTCATTGATCCATCCAAAAATGCTTCCAAAAAGAACTTTTTTTGCGCAAATCGCAATTTTATTTAGAAGGATCAAACTAGGTATTGGCTCTGTTATGCCATCTTCAATATCTTTATATAAATATAAAATTTGAAAAATTAAAAGTATTTCACACTTACATGATTCTTCTCGTTGATTTGCTAGGAGATACTATGCCATTGCAATATTAAAATAAAAAGATTGGTAGCGAAAAAGACATAAAATAAAATTCTATTCAACAGAGTGCAATTTTTAAATAAATTGCTTTCTGAGGAATTTATTTGAAAATGATCTCACACTTGCAGTGTAACTAACATCTTTGTGTAAATAAGTTTTTTAGCGTGAAAATAAATTTACTTCTACCCTACATCTAGACTGTAAATTAAAAAATGGTAAGAATATAGCTGCAGCTTAGATTGACTTAATATTAGGCTGACAGCAAATCAAAAGATATAACTTTGCAATGGATCTTAACGAAAATTGCAAAGAGTTCACATTAAGCAATTTTACATCATATTTTTCAGTTTTTCTTTTAAATCTTCTAGATTGTGTGACAGATCTATATTTCTTGTGATATTAAAATAACAATATCTTATTTTAAGTTAATACTTCACAACTTCTTTTTAGACGATCTAACCGAAACGTTTCAATTCATTTGCAAGGTAAACAATCAACTTATCAAACATAAACAGTTGAAGAATGATAATTTATCACGGCAGGTCATGATACAAGAAATACTTGAAAAATAAATTTTGATTAAAAAAAGAATCTAAGTAGATCGAAGATAAACTTAATTTGCACAAAAATGTCCAATCCTCTATGAATATTTCAGGTTGATGATATGAAAGAAGTCCTGAAGATAATCATCAATATTCATCGAATGTGTCGCCAAGCTGTGTAAAATATCATTGAAAAGGTATTTTAATTCCGTTTAGAAACATAATGTTGTATTGGTTTTGAATCAAAAAAATTTCCAATAATAAAATGGGCAGCATTAATAAAGTAATGCGTTTTATTTATTAGAAAAATGTTTGAAAAAGGGACATTTGGTACACTTGAGAAAACGGCTACAAATCCAAAATCTTGCGTTTGTAAATCAATGAACTCGTTTTAAAAGCGCTATGCAAATCCATAGTGTCCCGTTAAATATAAGACGGCGACCCAATGAAGATATGTGTGAAAACGAATTAAATTAAACGTTAACATCTGAAAACGTCTATAAGACTCCTATAACATATACTTAACCAGAGTTTAATCTTTTGATCGAAAAAGGGCTACTTTCATTTAGATATTTCCTTAATTTCTTTCTTACCTTTCGCCCCCTACTGGTCCGATTTTGCTCCTAAAGCAAAATACGTCCGAGATTTCCGTATTTTCTTTGTTTTCGCACTTTGGAGGGGTCTCTCCAACTCGTGCAGTTTGATCACAGGTGACCGCATCACTAGGCAGAGTTGTGACGTCTTTAAAGGCAACAGGCACATCGAGGGCCATTATAGTCAAACTTGTAATTGTGTCTATTTCTGGCCCTGGTATAAAATAACAAAGTTCTTGATATAATAATCATTCGCACCAAAAAAAAATTATTTTTGAAAAACAGTCGATAAATCCAATCAATCACTTCCAACTTGAACTGTAGTTTTTGTGTACGTCCGCTATAAGGTCGACAAATTCGCCTGATGAAAACTCCGCCGGACGATGTTTAAAATCCGTACCGGACCAAAATTCGCGTTCACCGTTCAACAGGCAAGAGATCGACAATCAATAGTGAGAAACTGTTTCGATTTATGTATATATGTTCGTTGTTGAAAATTGAGACACTTTTAGGCGCGTACGGGGACAATGCGGACTGCGACCGATGCAATTATATTTTATCTATCACTCAAAAACGTTATTTGCATTTTATCAATAGTAATAATCGTAATTAACTGTACTTAGGTTTAATTTGAGGCTTTCGTTTGAGTTGACTTTAACAAATTGATTTTAAAATTGTAATCGCTTTATCAGATACGTCATTCATAAATTCAATAAATGGTGCAAATTAGCTGAATCAACTGAAGAAAAAATGTCTCACTCAGTATAGCAAAATTTCTTCACAATTATTAGTGGCTTTTATAACATTTTTCTTATTTCTCCCAAAGCACTGTTCAGTAATGCGGCATATAAGGAGACATTGTGTTAATTTAATCCAGTAATAATTTATTCTTGTAGAACAATATATTCACAACTAATGCTGGAATTGTTTTTGGGTAGAGGTTGTTCAGTAATAATAAAATTATTTGAATTTTTAAATTTTGTAAAATATTGTATAAAATAAAAATTTTACATAAAAATATTTACATACTTGAATGAATTAAGAAGGTAAAAATATTATATTACATTGACATCGGCATTAATTGACATTGACTTTGTTTATTATTAGTTGCTAAGAATTTATTTAATTTTTGCTTTATTTCCAACACTATTATTATAAGTGACTACGATATAAAATTATAGAATAACTGGCTTAAATTACTAATATATTTTCTATGATTTGCAGCATTTATTTCTTTTTCAATAATCATTTGTTTTATTGCTAATTTTTGATAATTATTATTTTGTGTTCAAATTTTAGTTTCTTAAAAGTTAAATTCATAATTTTCATGTTTATATAAAAGAGTTAATAGTTATAAAAGTTTGCTTGACATTGCAATATATTTTTTGGGCATTTTAAACAAAGAACTGAATATTTGATTTTATTTTAACTGAATTTTTATTTTTTTAATTAGTAAAAATTGTTTTTATTAATATTTAAGATTTGTGGCAAACTGTGATATCATATTTAGGAAGAATATGCTTTATTTTTTCAGATAATTTACTTATAGTAATGCATCATTTCTGATTATTCGGATTATGTCTGGTGATTTTTTTCTTATATAATATACACTATATAATTTCTGAAAAAATATATTGGAATGACAAGCCAACTTTTAAAAAATTCTATAAATGGACATAAATATACTAAAAACGCATCAACTGCTTTACATAACATGAAAAAGTAATTTTAAAAAAACTAAAATTTTAACACAAGATAATAACTGTCAAAAATTAGCAATAAAAGAAATTTAGTTTATGTAATATTTGTACGTATTTTAAATACTTAATAAAGATCCACATTGTTATCGAAACTTTGAGTAAAATTTAAAAATTTAAAGAATTTTACTATTATTGAAAAACTTTTTCCCAAGAACAACTCCAGCATTGAGGATCATGAAACGTGAAGAATAAAAAGAAGCTATTATATCTTATTATATACAAGATATTCCTTAATGGCCTATCAATATCTTTAGCTCATTTTAAGAAAAAAACTTCACAAGGACGTATGTCCCAAATAAATACAGGGCTAGATTTTTTTTTTGTATAACCGATTCCAGTTATAAATGGGGTTCGAAAAATTGAATGCGTGAACTGCAGGAAATTGCTAATTTACAGCGAGACAACTATCATGTAAACACTGCGATTATGACAAAAACGGTGGTAGAAATTAGTGCCTTTAAATATGAAATATGGAATGGAATTGAATAATATCCCATTTCAATCTCAAGAGACATCCGATTTCTGCATGGCCTAAAAAGTTGATCTGAAGAATTATAATCGATTGAGTTTGTATGTGATATGATAGGTCTGAGACCATAACGGATATCATACACTCGATTTGCAAAAGCTATATCACGAGATTAGTTAAGCATAGCAAACCATACCATATAAAAAATTGGATCATTGTAGTATAAAAATTTCCATACGTAGCGCCAGACGCTAGGTAATTTTTTCCCCTTCTTAAACCTAGTTACATCATCTGCTGATAATGGCATCTTGGCGAACGAAATACATATTTGAACGTTTTCTAAGTTGTCGTTGTCAACTTAGCATACAATAAGAATGTATTTGCAGGTTTTTTTCCTTTTTGAAAGAAACTCGCAAAGAAATTAAATTTAAAAGATTAACTCTGTATCTCTTACCGTATGTGCGGATTCCAATGGTGAAAATCGAATTCAAACTTATTTACTTAATCACGATATGACCGATTAGGATAATTGTTTCAATATATTGATTTCTCCATTACTCTGCTGATGTTAACTTATTATTCTAAAATGTTTTATGTCTCTTATTATTTAATAAATTGACGCGCTAAATAAATATTCCTCCTTTTGTGATAACTTTATTGATTGACGTACCTATTATCGCCTATTTTTAAGTACTCGCAGGTTTTAAAAACATTGCTTATCTTGTAGCAAATGTAAAGAGTGGATAATGTTCTCGCAAAATCTATCTGTAATGAAATTGTCTAATGGTAACGATCTAAATACAGACGACAAGTACCCAAAAATTTATTTACCATCTCCCATACTCTTTAGATCTCGATATCATTATTAAAGTATCGAAACAAACTTACAGTGTCAATTATGTATACCTACTGAATACTTACTAAGTCCATATCCCAAACAGAATTCGGTGCGAATGTGAATGTGAATTTTAAATTTACGATCTACAAAAAAAACCCTAATAATGGCCCTTACAACAAAAATTATGGTATAAATAACCTTATAAAAATAAAAAATGCAAGAAATATATTAGCGTTTACAGAGTGAATCATTTTGAAAACAATCATTATTCGAAGTAGATCACGCAGTGGTTAACAAAGCTGACAATGCTTATAGTGTGATTAGTGTATAATTCGCTATTTTAGCGCAGGATACAGAAAATTGAGATCTTTAGAACATAGTTTTAAGACATTTGCACTCTTAATCATAGCTACACTATATAGACAAACTTCGCAAATTCTAATCTGTGTAAAGTCAAAAAATTGACATATGGTGATTTATAATTGGTATGACGACATTACCAAGTAAGTGCTTTTATGTTTTATGTTGCTTTTATTATCAGAATTGTGTGCATCAATACTCATGAGAATATAGCTGAAACAAATTCTATTCGCAAAAATAAATTAAAAATGACGTTTACTCTGACACTTAATTATAATAATAAATTATGGAAAATTTATCACTTTGTGGAAATGTAATCATTCTATTGTTTTGTAGGTAAGGTTTCGCAAACTACCAGGCTAATATTATTGCAATTCTCAGCAAAGCATCCCGTAACTAACCACAGAAACATGTTAAATAGTTTTGATTACCTCAATGTACTTCATCAGAAACCAAGATGTTGCATTTACATAAATATATATACAAAACTAATTACTAAGCAAACTTCGTGTCAAAAGTTGGGTGCGTAGTTAAAAGCCTTTACTAGATTCAGTTTTTCAAGTTCCTTGAGCACAAATTCCAAAACAAGATCAATCATATTTTAACTAATTAGTTAAACAGCTGAATAGATTAAATTAATCATAACTTTTGGTCCGAAGATTTGATCTGGTGTCTTTTTTTTACATTTACATCACGGAATTGCGGAATTATATTAAACTGGCTTAATGGTTAGCCGGTATCAAGAAAACCTTAATTTTCGAATATTTCAAGTATTCCTAAATTTTTCTAGTTTTGAAATTTGAACGTACAAAAGACTTGTCGGAATCATATTGTCTATATTGTAAATAAAAAATCTATTTTATTCCCTGCAACATTTTTTGTCTGAACAAACAGGTGGTCATAATTTACCACATAAGCCAAAAAAAAGATAATTTTCAGGAAACTGTTTAATGAAATATGTATTTTGTAGGTCAAATAAACGATTTTTATTTAAAATCAGCTATACAATTATATATTCCATCTTAATATTTTGTACATTATTGGGTCGCTTTAAACTTCGTCTATATTTCCATTTCTTTTCATTGCTAAAATTTATTTTTAGTAACGTAATTATTTGCAAACTACCGCAATATCGGTTCTTTAATATTCAAATTAATTAATCAGCAAGTCAATGAGGAATGGAAGACGTAAAACGAACTGACTAATTTTGTATTCTGTTTCCACTCGCATATGTATGGATTAGTGCCCTATAAAATTGTTTGTGCCTAAATACATCGAATTTTCTGTAATAAATGCAGTGTGATCCCCTTTTTTATTTTATGTGAACAAAAAGGTGGAAAATTAAAATTAAACCCTTTGTTTTCTATATATAAACAAAGGAAAGAAAAATGGACGGTGTGCATGGAAGAACAAAAATTATAATTTCTTTTCATTCATATAACATACCCTATACTACTAAAAATTCGCCTATTTATAACAAACAACAACAATTTATAGCAAAACAAAAATTACAAATCAAGAAGCCCGAAGATAAAAAAGGGTTTATGTAATTGTTACTTGATAAGGAATGACATATTTTTACATTGACTTGGTTTGTAATAGATATGCAAATACTGCACGAATTTAAGTCTGTTATATGAATTTCAGTTAGAATATTAAGATGAATCGAAAAATAAATTCATATTTGATTTTGGTTTTCTTGGGTCAATGAGACTAAGTATTGCATATATTTTATGATCTCTTTATCTTCATTTTGTTGTGGAATCTTACATACTATTAAATATAGAGAAACCGCTGATGCGTAGAAAATAAAGAGGATGACATATCTTACATCTTCGTACTTTTTAGCAGAAGATTGAAAATAGGCCTGAATTAAGTAGCAGACGTTTTGTTTTCAATATACAAAATATGGATTTATTAATATTTCCATTAATAATTTCATTACTGATAACTGATAACTTATATTTTCATTTACAATAAGATTGTTCAAGATACAAATTTTATTTCTACTCCATAAATCTTTGTCTCAAGATGTATATATATATATATATATATATATATATATATATATATATATATATTCTCACGTATTGATTCACGGATGGAAAAATGTGATGACACTATATTCCGGGATATCATCCGTTCGCTCGTTGAACTCCGACTGGAATCCTGCTTATATATATATATATATATATATATATATATATATATATATATATATATATATATATATATATATATATGTTTTTAAACTACCACTATAATTTTTCAAAATCCGAAAAATTTGCGTTTTCAATTAATTAATTATTTTTTTACAGACCCATAAATTTAAACTCCTGACTGGAACTCCTATAACTCTCTCATGTCAGCAAATTTTAAAAATTTTCAGCCCTAAACTTAAGATTTGCCTTCAAAAACAAAAAAAATCGCAATACTAATATTTAACATAATAATTTACATATATAGTTCTGTATAATTTGTATCCCTATATATATTATTTATTATATAATAAATTTATATATTGTTATTTAAAGTAGGTTTTTTTGTATTTATTGGTATATAAAAAGTATTGGTCATCTCGATGCATTATCTATCGACGATCGAATAAGATAAATTAAACGCACAACAGGTAAACAATACCATTGAATTCCATTAAAGAACGGACAACCGCCGCCAGTAATTAAACTTTATTATATCGTTAGTGTATCTGGAAAACACTATCTACGTCTTGAATTGCAAATCGACGTAAAATTCCGTTTTTTAAAATGTCAATGTCGTCGCCGGGAAAACTTCAAGAGAAAAAAAAAACAGAAGGTAAAATAACACCCGTTTATTTCACAAGTTCTGGTCAAATTTTATAATAGCCGCGTCTTTATTAACACTATCCCCGACATTGTGCAGAATATCGGATATTTTCGCGTCCCTATTGGCTTTGACCACGTGCTCCATCTTCATGGCGATCAAAACAAATAGAGGGTCGCCCGCTTTCACATCGTCTCCAGCTTTAACCAGGACTTTATCCAAAATCCCTGGCATCGGCGCTACTGCCCTGTCTGCGAAACCTGAAAATGACTGGGAATCTTCCTCAACCATGAACAGTGGCAACGGATAAGAAAACTCCGTTTTGCCGTCCTAAAAGCATTGGTTAAACGATCAACCCATGCGCAGAATTTATGTGCTATACCGATCCAAATAGTGCAAGTATTTGCTCGTTTCCGAATACGTTTACGGTGGTCTTAAAACCGTCCAACGTACAGTGCAGTAAAAACTTATTATCGCCCAACTCCAGTTCGGCGGAAACGTCCATCCACGAATTGCCGTCATCGCATGAGACGGAATATTCTTCGTCTCCCAAAATTTTTACTTTTACGATATAGTCTGAAAAATGTAAGTATGAAAACCTGACCAAGCAGTGCGCTAGAAATTCTGTCAGTAGAATTTTCAAAATTTGGGTCTTGACGTGCGTAGATGGCACTTTTCTGTTTGAAACGTTAACTTTAATATGTACGTAAGTGAAAATTGAATGTTTCTTGTCATTGCATGCATATCATAAAATACTTAAGAACTTGGGTAATTTGTTACGTTGGCGGAAAAACGAGGAAAAACCAAAAAGCATTATGGCCGCACAAAAAAAGTTTAGATTGATTTTATCTATGCACGAAGAAATATGTTCTAAGGAATATTATTTGAGAGTTCTCCAAACGATATACCGTTTTTGCTACCTTTTATGGTTTTGACTTCGGAATGAGTTTAAAACCATTAGCGCCATTCTCTTCAGCGCGCGTACCACAAACCACGGCAGTATTTAAGATGTTAGCCGACAAGAACTGTGCCGTGAGGACTGTTGTATTTTGACAGTAGGGAAATTTTCTTTGATTAATTTGATAAAATATTAATTCATATTAGTGTGGTTTTTATAAATCTTCCTAAAACAGTCCCTATTTGAAGTAGCACGATTTCAAGTTGAATTTGCCCATTCGATAGGTTGATCTCCAATATTAAAAATTCCTACTAAATCTTATATAGATAATTGATTTATAATGGAGGTTTTCCCGGTTTGCTATTCGTTGATTTGTGGGGGTATTTTCTTTGCCCTCGAAGCTTTGGAGTTATTTCTATTTCTAGTAATTACCAACTTAGTGGTATTCAATTGTTTTTCGAGACTGCGAGGTGTGCCATTTTTATTGCGGTACCATATACATTTTATTACAATTTATTTCTTACTAAATAGTAACATTATTCAATATTGTTAGTCACTTGCGATGTCCAGAAACGAAGCCGTTGAGGTTGTGGTCGATGACGTAATTATAATTTTAAATGTGTTTCTGTTTTTCAAATCGACGTCTGGGGAAAGAGGAGCCACAAAATTAACGCTCGAGGCGCCACAGCACGTGACAGTTGTGAATGGTGTCCAAAAACGCGGATCCCAAAAATTATACTTGACATGCCGGAATAGTGAAACGGTTGATATATGATGCGTATCAGAAGAATATTGTTTTAACAATTAAAACTTGACCATTGCCAAAGGAGTTTGCGTGCGTTTGTACGAAGAACTGGTTTTTATTACAAAACCATCAATAAGAGACAAGTTTTGATGGAATCAAAAAGAATTTCGGAGTCGAGGATAAGATATTTGAGAGATATCCAAGAATTTCGTGCTAAAAACGTCCCCATCATATATTTAGATCAGACGCTGGTTTGATAGCTACGGTACCGTTAGGAAAGAATAGACTGCAGAAAATGAGGCAAACCAATTATCATACTACATGCGGGTTCTGAAGCTGGTTGGATAGATAAAACTTTGTTACTTTCTGCAAAAAATGTCAAAGCAAAGGTTGACTATCACGAAAACATGACAGTAGAAAAATTGCTTCCCAATATTCCATCAAACAGTGTTGTCGAGATGGACAAAGCCAGCTACCATTTTGCACAAGCTGAAAAAATACCAAATAACTTTTTTTGATAAATATTCTAACATTGTTTAATTATTTTAAAAAAGTATATCTTTTGGAGAACTCTATATATACCAAGGGGACAATGACGGTCATCTAAGGGATGGAAAATGTGGAGAAACGTCTGTGTGTTTATTACCTTTTTGGTAACTTTTTCGATATTTAATTTAATGAAAATCTTCAAATTATTTGTGTTTTTTAGAATAGGCCGGATTTAAAAATAAATATGATGATCAAACTAGCAAAAAACAACTATCAAAAATGGATAGATAGCATTCTTCAAGATTACGCAAAACATCCTTTCATAACAATAAATTATAATTATCCTTTCTAAAATTTACATTTACGCAAGAACTATCAGAGGAAATGGCATTCCCATGGTTCCTTCGTTCAAAATAACTTAAAAGAACGTTGGAAACACATTTTTTATTCTATCGCGGTCAAGACCCACACGTCATTCCGTGGTGCAAGGACTATATCAGCAGTTTAGATAAAACTGTGAAGTAAATACTCAACTCAAAATGTGGGAAACTTTTGAATGAAAAATGTTGTGTAAAGCCCGATTCAGGTATAAAAATTCGAGTATTCTGCTGCCCTATTCTATCCTATAGTGACAAGTGTGCATCAACCAAAGACATTATATCTTACAGCAATATAACAAATATTTACGAATTGTTTGGTTTCCACGAATGTGGCAATAAAACGTATTTTCCATGATTTTGTTCAGGCGATAACAGCTTTCAGTTTAAACTTTGCGATGCTAATCCATACACTAAACATTGAAAACCCATATTAAATAACTGTAAAAAGAAACACTAAAATCGCAAAAATCGTTAAATCGCCAACGTGCTTCAAGTTTATACGCATCGTAGCAAAATGCGCCAAACATGTTCATTATGAGCTTGTCGGGTGTCTTGGATATAATGTCTTTGACTTTAACTTTTCGCCATGACTTTACCAGTTCCCTTAAATTTTAGCTTGACATCCCGGACGTGTACATAATTCACTCGGAAATTAGACTCCAATACGAACGGATTAAAAGAGTCGTTCCTTCGGGCGGCCATTTCTTTTTCTCGGTTTTTGTCGAGTAAAATTGTCGCGAGACCGCCCTGTATGAGTTGTATTTTCGTCGGAGTCTCGTCAGCGAACAGCGACTCATTATGGTCCTGTATAAAATTGGTATGGACGCTCCCAGCTTCGAACTCGCCATGCTTCGAAAGATCCAGCAGGAAATTAACGTTTGTTTCGAGGCCTGCAATCTAAATAACAGCCATGCGTATTTATGGATTGTACCATGAAGAGGATATAGGCCATTCGGGCCACGCCTTTTTTCTCTATTTTGGTATCTAGGAGCTTAAATTATTTTTTTCCATTGGAATGCAAGGAGCAAGAACTAAGCAAAGGCGACCAAACGTGCCAACATACTTAAATGTGACATAGGATATATCTTTGACCCAGGAAAAACTACTTTTTGGTTAGTATTTGCTCCGTAGTTACTAAATGGCAAATATTGGATCCGCAATGAGCGTTATTTTAAGTCTTTATTCATTTAACTGTAAATAAAAATTCCATAAGATAAATATGCGAGAGGGTAGGCGACCTTGCTTTAACTAACGACTACGTCGGCAACAAGTACGCCTAAATGAATCTTTCTATACTAAGAGCGGAACGCAGGGTCTTTTTACAGCAGTCGTAAAAAAAAACAGGTAAAACGTCAGAGATCGTGATTTAAATGCCGTCCGCAGCAATGGAAAACCGAGTGTCCGTTCTTATCTTTGTTAATGTTCGGTGATGGTGCCAGCACGAAGGAGAGAGAGAGGGAGAAAAACTCAAAACAAGAAATTTATAAAAAGTTACTGATTTTTTTAAAACTTACATTATATTCACCCAACTTCGACCTCAATTTAAGCAAAGCTTCAAGCCGGTCGTTTCCCCAAACAACTAACTTTGCTATCATCGGGTCATAATGCACAGACACCTCGTCTCCTTGTCTGACACCTAAAAGTAGAAATAACCAAATGGAGATAAAAGATAACGTCCTTTTTATAAATATTCGATTCTAATACTATATTTCATATCAATTGCATATATTTTTCACATCCTTCTAAATGAAAAAAAATTAATTGGCCATTCTAGAGTGCAGGACTTTATAATTAACATGTACTCAAATCCAGTGTCCCCATAGAAAAGTGAAAAATTAACTAAAATAAGTTTTTGTTATTACTATTTACTTATAATTTGCATACGAATCTTGTGAAGGTTTTAAAATTAAAAAACCGGTAAATGTTCAAAATTTCAAGGGCCACATTTTTCGATGGTATTTAAAATGAAAAGAAAATCAATCGATTATATTTTAAAAACTAACCAAAACTAACTAAACTACCAACTGAAATCTGGGCGTTTTTCAATTTTTGGATATTCTGAAAGTTGCCCATTGACATTAAAACATTATCAGTGCCCTTTTCTTAGTCAAAATAAAGATATTTTATAAATCTCCATTTTCTCCAAAAATGAATACAAATTTCTTATTTTATTTGTAAATCACAGTTGTAGAGAAACTTTAGCTTAGAAGTTTACAAAAGCTAAGACCAATTTAAAATAACTTAAAAAATACGAAATAGAAGAACAAATTAAAATTTGATATTACTAAAATTTTATTTTAGTATTTTAGATCACTTAAACAACACCCTGTATAAATTTTCAGAAGTATTGACAAAATTATAGTCATTCTAAAACACAGAACATAATAGTTACAAACAGTAAAAAGAGTTTAATTTTAAAATGTAGAAATAAAGAATAGAAATAAAGTTCACTAGTTTCCTCTCCGTTTTCGTTTGACAATATGTAAAACATCATACATGGTAAAGAATGAAAAATTGCTATAATATATATTTTTTTAATGTATTCAATATTTTCATCCAAATCAGAAATTCTCATTAATAAAAAAATTGGCGGAAATTTGAAATGGCCGAAAAATGCGCCATATCTCCGTGAAGATATCGCCATACGGGTTTTGTACATTAAATATTTCTCAAAAATCAAGTCCTACTTTAGAAATGCCGTTTCTCTGCTAAAACTATCCAATTATGACCACCTTGTAGACAAATAAAAAGTACGCATACCGAAATAACTATTTCTAGTCCTGATATAAACCGAATAAGTGATAGATTTTACCAATTCGCATACTAGTCACAAATTCAGAATATTTTAAATTTGCGAAAGCACTGGGGGATTTTACGAATTTAAATATTTAAGTACGAATTTGGCAAATATAGAAAATAATTATTATTACACCTATATATTAATAATTATGGACTAATTATTAGTTGAAGAAGAATTGAACAAGAAACGAAGTTTGGTCCGATTAGTTTTTATTAGTTTTTTACCTTTTCTTTATTTCTTCATTTTAAATGATTCCCTTCTGTGTGAAAATAACAACGCCGCCTGGGTGCAATTTTTACCCTACTTTATTACAGGGTGCGTACGGTATTTAAGGCCATCCATATACGTGGCTGTAATTTGTGGAGAGCAATTTTTTTTTCTTAGATCATCGATAGAGGACCATAACGCTAGAAATTATCGTCGCTATATGCGCGAAACACACCGATTTAGAAATCTCCAATTTTCTCAACTGCGTTCGATCATTCGTACGTAAGGTTCGTCGCGAATTGGAAGCATCATCTGGCGATGTAGAAAAAACGATGCAAAACGCAAAATACATTACAAACGTTCGGACACTATCAGAAATACACAATTTGCCCGACAAGTGCAACAGATCGTTGACGAAATCCCTTCAAAGTCCATGAGTGCCAATGCGAGAAACCTTAATGTCTCTGAGGGTCTAACCGCCGAGTTGTCCACGAAGACTTCCGCTGCAAGTGGTACGTTATGCGCAGAGGACAGCTTATGTGGGCACAAACTCAGAATCAGAGACTTATTTGAGAAAAACGTCTCTTGAACAAGCTGATGCACTCTGTAGTTCCTGACATGTTATGGTTTTTTTCTGACGAATTTTGAGCAAGGCCAAAAGGTCAATCGGAGAAATGGCAGATGGTTATGCTCAATTCCCACAGAGGTTCCCCGTGTTATGAATACGAAGTTTCCCTAAATTGTCATGGTTTTAGCAATTGTGAGCAACGAAGGGCATGTTATGCTACCTCACTTCTTGCAACAGGAGATTCGGGTGAATGCTGCCGCCTACATCGAGGTTTTGGAAACAGTTGTGAAACCCTGAATCGATAGTGTCCGTGAGGGCAGACCATAGGTATTTCTAGCAAGACCCTGCTCGTGTACACAAAGCCATGGGGACACAAAATTAGAAGGCCGAAAATTTTTATGACCACATCACTCCAACTGCCACCTAGCTCCCCGGATCTTAATCCCCTTGATAATTCGTATGGGGCGCAGTTGACCGAGAGACCAATAAACATCCCCATAACACTATTTCATCACTGAAGGATACTATAAAACAGTCGTTTCCTTTCTCGGATTTTGTCAGTTATTGCCGCTAATGGGGATTTTCTTGAATAATTATATAGTCTAAGAGTCAATTAACGGTATGTAAAAATTTCATGGAATTATAATAAAGTTTGCAATAAATATGAACAAATTAATTTTAATATCAATATGTCCTCAAATATCTTACTCACACTGTATCTAATAGTTCATGCGATAGCTATTAAAACGTACCAGTCTCAATTCTGACATCATCTTGCGGTTTGGGAGTACTCAAATATAATAAAGGACCGGCGCCCGGTAAAAATCCACCGCGAGGATCTTCCGCGTAAATACGAGCCTCGAAAGCATGACCTTTCAACGGAATCTCCTCCTGCTTTAAGAGTAGCTTTTCGCCGGAAGCGATCTTTATTTGCCATTCGACCAAATCGACTCCTAAAACCAAATACCAAAAACGGTTTAAGAATTAAATAGCACCGAAGGGATTGTTTACCGGTAATCATTTCGGTAATGGGATGTTCCACTTGCAGTCTGGTATTCATTTCCATAAAATGAAAACTGTGGGAATTTCGATCCAGAATGAACTCCACGGTACCCGCACCGACGTAACCGACAGCCTTGGCCGCCCGCACGGCGGCATCTCCCAACTCTTTCCTTAAATTCCAAGACAAGCCTGGCTGCAAAAGAAGTTTACGCTTCCAGAAAAATCAATTTTCGTTTTAGTTACCGCAGGCGCTTCCTCGATTATTTTCTGATGTCTCCTCTGGACAGAACAATCTCTCTCGTACAAGTGTACGACGTCGCCGTAACTATCGGCAAATACCTGAACCTCTACGTGTCTAGGTTCGGCAATGAATTTTTCGAGGAGCACGACAGAATCACCAAAAGCTTTTTGGGACTCTGTTCTCGCTGATTCCAGAGCGTCTAGAAACTCCTCTTGGCGACCGGCTATTCTCATACCTATAGGAACACTTGTAAGTTGAAGCGACTCTACGACCTCAATTTTGTTTGCAATGACACAAGATATGTAATGAGACATCTCAAATTTCTAGACAAATACATTTACATCTCCTCGCTCAACAAACGTTCAAGATGCTTTTAATAGATGTTTTTAAAATTTAAATTCATTGACAGGAACAAAATATTTTTTTAATCTAATTTAATATTGCTGCTTCCTAATCTATACCCAATTATGCTGATCACGCATACGTGAAGTATCAATTTCAGACGTCAGCTTTGTTAAACACGGCTTTGGGAATAATTGCAGAAGATTTATTATGATGTTCTTACGTTCGTTTGCATGCTGTTTCGCAAAAATACCAAAAACTAATATTGTCAGGAAAATTAAAGCCTGTAACATCCTTATAAAACTCTGCAGAAACTCGTATATTAAACACAGACTAAAGTGTCGTTTATAAAACTTGTTGCGTAACATACTATTAATACACGCTTTGGGGATAATTGCAGTAGATTTATGATGGTGTAAATGTAACTCTTCAGACACTCGTTTATTTAAACACTCGAGACTAAAGTGTCATTTATAATACTTGTTGCATAACATACTATTAATATATGCTTTGGGGATAAGTTCAGTAGATTTAAGATGATGTTTTGACGTTTGTTTCAATACTGTTCTGCAAAAATACCAAAAGCTTAATGCTGGCAGGAAAATTATAGCATGTAACACCCTTTGTAAACCTCTTCAGACACTCGATTATTAAAGACTCGAGACTAATGTGTCCTTTATAAAACTTGTTGCATAACATACTATTAATTCATGATTTTTAGCATGCTCTAGTTTTGGGAGGAAAACATTTAACTCAATTTTATAACATATTATTTTAGCACTCTGCTAGAGTACTAACGAAGTTTTTTTTTAATTCCTAGATTATATTTTTATTATTAACACTTTATACAATAACAGATTTAAAAACCGTTCAGTTATATAAATATCAGTATCAGCACACGTTATTATTGTTTATTTAGAAACCAATAAGAATAATTTTCAAAGATGACATGGGCCATTAATTTTTTTTAATTAATCTTTTTCTTATGATAAACAAAAAATCTATAAATCTCATTATTATTAGTTTAATTCTGCCCTAATTTCAATGAAATTTAGTGGCTATTTAATCCTTTAATCCTTAATCCTATCCAGAACTAAATTGCAACCCAAGTTGAAAAATATATATTGGAAAAAACTATTTAAATTACATTAACAGGTATTACAAATCACAAATATTCATAGAATTAATTAAAATAATAATAAATTACCTTTATTTTCAGTAGTACCTATTCCTAGTAAGTTGTATTTAAAAAATTTCGTTTTTTTATTTCGTATTGGATACTTATGCTTTATTGTATGTTACAACAAAGTTTACAGAATAACATATTTTATGTTTCGCTCAGTTGTGTTCTTTTTTTTAACGACCTCTTCCCCTCACTATAACACATTAATTAAAACGTATTAATACAAAAATTCTCTGCAAAAAGACATAAATAAACATCGCTGAATTTCTATTAAAAAATTCAGAGGGTAAGAAAAAAAAGTTAATGATGGCGCCTTGAAATGAAATATTGTACAGTTAAAAAATACAATGGAAAAGAGCTTTCTAGAAATACTAAAAGGATGTCGAACTTCCATTGTCTTTATTTTTAACTTACATAACGTTTCGGACAGTTGTATCACTACCCATTATCAAGTGTATACTAAACTTAATTCTAAGGTTACACGGTTTATACACTAGGCGACGGCGCTCATCCCTGAAGGAGGCGGGTGTAGTCAAGCATTCAACTAGAACGCCAGCATTGGTGCGCCTTATTAGAAGTTGCCAAATTGTTGGTATATCCACGCCTGGATTTCTGAAGATGTTCTCATTATTTCTAATCAAAACTGCTTCTTTAAATTTTCGCTTTCTCCAATGCTGCTCTCTGTGAACAACCCGCGCTCTGGACCATTGGATGTTGTGTTGTTTGGTCCACACATGTTCTGCGATATCTGATTTTTGCGTTTCACCCTTCATTGTATGTTTCTTATGTTCTTCAACTCTTATTTTTAAAGGTCGTTTGGTTTCGCCAATACATGACTCTCCGCATTCACAGGGTATCTGGTAGATACACTCTCTCTCTTGAGTCGACGTTTCTGGCTTTGTTTTTGTGAGTACACTTCTTAATGTTGATCCAGATTTAAATACAGTTTTAACTTGATATTGTTTAGCTATTCGCTTAATCTTTTCTGATATTCCATTCACGTATAGGTTCGTCAACCAGCAGCTTAAGTACATTTCTCCTTTAAATCGTCCAGCCACTTGTAGGTAAAACTTCTTCGTTTGTAAAAAAACTCCGGGCAGTTGGTAAGTAGATATTCTAAAAAACGTGAAACTAGATCCTTCAGACAAGTTTATTAGCTTTGACGTTGAAAGTCTATATACCAACGTGCCCTTGGAGGAATAGTTAAGTATTGTCGAGGCTGGACTAAGAAATGATACAACCCTACCAACCGATAGACAGCTAGACTCTTTTCTCAATTATCTTAATTCTTTGCGAACATCAATTAAATTTACTATTAAGAAAGAAAAGAACGGCTGTCTACCGTTTCTAGACGTCCTAGTAAGTAGAAATAATGGTTCTATTAACACATCTGTATATAGAAAACCTACCCACACAGGACCGTATCTAAGTTTTGAGTCTAACCATTCTGAAGCAACCAAACTAGGAATAATTAAAACACTGTGTAAAAGAGCAATCACAATATGTAGCGACCAAGTATCTCTCGATGCCGAATTGAACAATATTAAAAAGGATTTGCTTCAGAACGGTTACTCCGAAAAATCTATAAACAAAATAATAACAAACTGTAAGCGGGAAACAACACCGGAACCATGTGTTCTACTTGAACAACATCACGCTTGACTACACCCGACTCCGTCATGGATGTGTGCCGTCGCCTAGTATATAAACCGTGTAGCCTTAGAATTAAGTTTAGTTTACACTTGATAACGCGTAGTGATACAATTTTCCGAAACGTTGTGTAAGTTAGAAATAAAGACAATGGAAGTTTGACATCCTTTTAGTATTTCTACTGAATCAGTGTCTACCACCTTCAAGCAAACGAAAGAGCTTTCTAGTTTTAATACACTCAAAAGAAAATGAAAAACAATTTTTTTGTTCGCATTTTATATTGAACACATACCTTTTCCTCCACCGCCTCGAACAGCTTTGATCATAACGGGAAATCCGATCCTTAGAGCTTCTCGTTCGAGATTTTCGTTGCTTTGGTCATTCCCGTGGTATCCTTCGATTACTGGCACTCCGGCTTGAGACATTATACACTTCGACGTGCTAAAAGTAGGCTTCAAACGACACAAAATTTCATTCGTTATATTAAATTTAAAAAAAAATGAAAAGCATTAATTTGGAGCCTGCAGTTTATAGAAATCTCGCTCCGTTTTAGAAATTATAGGGTAATGTATATTCTATGTATACGTATATATGAAACAATCAAGAAAAACTCAAATTGTTGTTGGCATTTCGAAAGTTGCACAAGATAATAATATGGTTTTCGCCATTTGTTTTAATAACTAAACCTTAATTAATGATTAAAATTAACTCAATAGTGTAAGTAAAGCGGAGTTTTTCCTCACGATTGAGAAAAGTTAACATTTCTTCGCACGTGAGAAAAAATACTGAAACATATGAAGTTGCATACTACGCGTACAATGGTGTCACTTGAGTCCAGAATCCCAAGTATTTAAGTTGTTAAAAAAAAATTGTCTGTTCAGTGCGGTCAAACAAATTTTTAATACAACTGAGCAAAAAATATAGAATGAGCGCATGTGCCAACCGGAAAAGAAAGAGAAGGCCATTGCTTACGTGCGCTATTCATTTTTTAAACTTTTTTCTATATCTTGAAATTAAAATATACTAAGAGTTGCGAATTATGGGAAAACACCGATAATAAACATGTGTTTACTACCTTTTGATTCCCATATCACGAATAGCTGAGGCAGGAGGACCGATAAATATAACTCCCTGCTTTTGACAAGCCTCCGCAAATTCAACATTTTCAGACAAAAACCCATATCCTGGATGAATTGCCTGGCAATTCGCCAACCGGGCGACTTTTAAAATTTCATCTCCTCGCAAATAACTTTTGGTGGCTGCTGCCTGACCAATGTGAAAAGCTTCATCAGCCTGAAACGTGTAATAGGACATTCCTGATATAATACATTATGGCTACACCATTTTCATTACCATATAAACGTGCAAAGCTTTTGCATCAGCATCGCTATAGACTGCTACAGTTTTGACTCCCAACCGTTTCGCCGTTCTCATGACCCTGCACGCTATTTCACCCCTATTTGCTACTAAAATTTTGTTTATTTTTCTTAAGGTACTCTTCCATCTTACTATTTCGCAAAGTCGTCGATAATTGCTAGAACTACATTTTCAGAATAAAATTTCCCCTATTATTTGAAAGGAAACGAAAATTGACAACAATGCCAGTTTTCTACTGGACTATATCCATAGATAAGAGGCTTGAACGAGTATAGCCCAAGTCTATTTAGTCCAAGCACAACAATTATGATTACTTATGCGAAGGTACTATAATAAGATCATACTGAAGTTGACAATGGTGAACGAGGACAAAATATCGATTCGTCATTGTTTAAAAATAATTTTAGGATACCACTAAGTACCATTAACAGAACAGAGAGAGGTTATGTCACTGCGGTAAAAACAAATATAAGTTCTGAATAAAAAAAATAGCAATCAATTCAAAATATAGATATATCCTCACCATCTAATAAGTGGTACAAAATTGGGATACATCGCACCTAAATACATGTACGTCGTTTAAGAATGATAATGATCAATTTCTTTTCAAATGACAACACGAATAAGTAATTCTTATCGTACTAGTTGCGAAGGCTTGACCTTCAAATGGCTTTGTTGTTTTCACAAACTTAAGCCTAAAGGGATCGAATACTTGTTACAAATACGCTATATATTTTTTTTAAATTAACTTTTTTTTTGCTGTATCTATTGACCATATATGACTAATACAAAACGTTTTAAGTGTGTGGACGACCTTGTCTAAAAAATAAATAAAAGTGCAAGATAGGGTTTCAAATTTATGTGGAAGCTCGAAAGATCATTTCCTTAAAGGATGTCACAGTTTATGGAGCCTATAAAACAGCAAATAAAAAAATCAAAACGCTAAACCTCCTTGTTGGCGTCATAAGACAGTAAATAAATAGAAGCGTTCAACGTAGGAACGAATTGGATTTGCAATTAGTTTTTTAGTTATCCCTTATTGCGAAGTTAGGGTATAGTATTGTGGCAGTACAAATACAATTACACAGGCGTCCAAGAAAGTACGAATGTCGCAAAAAAAACTCACAGAAAATGGTTTTACCTTTCTGTTTTTCTTTTTTGCGCAATTGAAAATGCTAGTGTAGAACTCGAGTCATTATTGGCATTACTTTTTAAATAAAACTAGAAATGAATTTGATAAAAACTAATTTTATATTACAGAAAAGTTACAATCTAATATTTTACATTTGCATCACAAAACTTAGAGAATCAATTCGATTCAATCTTCAAACTCAAATCTTCATTGTGCAAAAAAGTTACATAATAATAATTTTAACACTCATAAAGGGAAGTGTGAAGACAATTCACAAAATGAACATGAAATTCATACTCAAATCCGCCTTCGAATTAACTCTTTACATTTTATACCGCCAAATTTTGTTTAATCGATCGTTGAAGTGACGACTTTATAGAATAAATATAGAATAGCATAGAATAGACTGTACACGCATTTGTTAGCCTCTGTAAATCAACACTTGCCAAGTGCATAACAAATGTGGTTAGAAGTCGCAGTTTTTAGAACCTGTAATTTTTATGAATTAAATATTAAAAATAAACAAATATTTTTTGAACAAAATGAAAAACATATGTTTCAGTTTGTTTACCCAAGTTTCAAATCACTTTCATACTTTTATTAATTTTTTTTAATGTTTAAACATTTCCTCCCATACATACTTCTTTAAATTCAGATAACTGAAGAATAAATTAACAATACAGCAAATGCCAAAAGGCAAATAACTTCTTCAATCTACCTTCACTACACTATAAATTTTTCTTATAAACCAGAAACACGCGAAAAACCCTATGGTACCGGTGAGCAAATTAAATAAGAAAACCATGATTAGAGTGTAGCCGAAATACAACAAACCTGAAGCAAAATCTTCTATTTGAAGTTTGGTATAGAAATAGTGATAGCAATAGAGGAACAAGTACACTGCTGTGAAACCCGAAGTCAAATATGAACGCCACCACCAATGGTAATCTTCAGCGCATAAGTGAAAATAACAAAGTAGTATGGTAGTTTCGGCACAAGTAATCACCAGTATGATGAACACCAAAAATAAAAAGCCGAACATATAATACATGGCCGACGACCATATTGAGTTCAAAATGAAAAATAGTTGAATGAAAATGCAACCGAAGGGTAAAACTCCCCCCATTATTATCCCAGGAATGGGTTCAGTATATATAGACTGTTCTGGAATCAACCGAGGGATTTGGTTTGTTCTGACAGGATGTTCTAAGGCGCGTTTTCGGAAACCAAAAAAGGCACCTATAAAAGTTAAAGGTACCGAAACCAACCACCAGAGAGCTAAAAGACCAATTAGAGTACTAAATGGTATTGCCGCAGAACTCCCTTTAGCCCAAAATACTAGATTCATTATAAAGAATAAACCAAACACTATTCCGGTCGCCAACATTGAGGTTAGCAGCACATTGGATTTCCACTTTTCTCCACCAAAGCTTTTATATATTCTAGCAGAAACATAGCCGGCAGGTGAGCCTAAGAGAACATACAACACCATGGAGCAAGTCATCAAAGCTCCTCGATTAGCAGGACTTAAGAATCCCAAACAGGCGAATGCAAGTGTGACAAGAGTCATGCAGAAAACTTGGACACCAGATCCAAGCAGGACCGAGAGCAACATTCCTTTTCGGGGTGGTCGAAATACATCACCATGAACAAGTTTCCAGCCAAACTCCTCCTGCAAAAAACATGTTTTTTAATCTTAAGCATTCTCCTTTCTTGAAACTTACAAAAGGGATCATCACATGAAAAGCAAATAGAGATAAAAATATTACTAATAATAAAAATAAGCTTACCTGTGCATCCTCTCCATTATCAATCTGATTATATCTGGCAATATCTTTATACAGGGTTCTCAAGAGAATCATTGCCACCATTCCAGACAAAAATAATACAATAACCAAAGAATTCAATATACTGAACCACTGAATATTAGTATAAGGCTGAGACTCTAAAATATAATCCCACCTTGATGACCACTTGACCGAATTATTTTGGACGAACATCACTGAATATGTGTAAGTTATTTCTAATTCTTGATCTTTTCCTAAAGCATCATTTGGTAACCTCAATGGATTTGAGTTCCTTGAGCATTTATCACTAGAACTAGTATTGACATTAACAAAGTATTATACCAGGTTGAAAATTTGTGAAGATAACTTACTCCTTATGATCAATTGTCCTAGGAATGACTTTAATAGAAATAATTCTGCCACCATTGCTACCAAATCTGCTACCCCATTCTTCTTCTGCCCCTGAATGATAAGTTATAATCAAATCCACATGATTATAAATAAAATATGAATCTGGTCCTTCAATTTCTGGGGTACAGGTTGTGCGTCCATTCTTGGAATAACAACCCATTTGAAAACCTGGGATGCAAACGATTTTGCCTTCTCTATTTAGATAGCAACTTGTCACTGGCATGTTATCAACAATCCAATGATGCTTATAATTTAAACCTATACCTAAAAAATTTTAAAAATCACAAATTATGATGCAATGTGCAATGTGCAAGACAACAGTTTACCTTTCCTCAATGTTTTCAATTTTTCAATGTCCTCTTTATTATTTCCCTTGTACTTCTTTTTGCATACTTCAACACAAGAGACATTTTTCATAAATTCAATCAAATAGGGAGAAGGGCGTATTCTTTCCCCAAATACAACTTGCCCTAAATTTTCAACTGGGGAAGGTGAATCATCTGGAGGTAAACAAAAATCAAAATAACTATATTCATAAGGGATAGCAGATGCTTCAGTGTTGAGGCGATTTACATACAATTTCACCTCAGCCTATAAATAGAACCAATTATAATAAATTTGTAGATAAGTAAAAATTATTTAGATGACTAACTTTACATCCCTCTATTTCATCCTCTTTCCTACAAAAATTGACGGGTGCTAATCCAGGCAAATAAAATGAATAAACAGACACAAAATTTAATAAGAGAATAAAAGCTGCATTAAGGTTTTGCATCTTAATTGTGGGAGGATATTTTTTAAGTTCTTCGTATCATTTAAATCCTAAATTCAAACAAAAGTTTTAGAGAATATTCACACGTAGCACCGGAAAACGTCACTATCAAATCTCGCACAGTTGCTGGGTACAATACCAATCACTGCTACTTCTTGATGAATTCCAAATATATCTACCGACAAACTACGGATTCAACTTATCAGTATATTTCACTACTAAAATAGATTTTTGCTCAATATTATGGCAAAATGCTACGTCTGACGGTCATCTCATTTCTGATTAATCATAGAATCATTTTCAACCGTCAACACAGAGCACAGACACACACACACAAAACAGTAAGGTGAAACCATTGATAAAATAATTGCTGTAAGATGTGCACAATTAAAGGGATACAATTTTTCATAGCGTTCCCAAAGTAAACATTTTATATTATTCCGTTAGATACATTGTAATTATCTCGCTTTTAATTTCGTTAGATTTACAGGGGTTTTGAGATGGGAACAGAAAACAAATTGCTTACAGTAATCGAATTTTGCACATAAAATTATTTCAATTTTGTTCCGATCCGTCCCGTCTCTCCGGTGGGATGTATAAAATAATAGTATGCGCTTAATTTAAAACAATGGTCTGAAAGATACCTTACGGTGGTCCATGGCTAGTAAAACAAATAATAGCTTATAACCATATAACCTATAATAATTTGGTAGTTTTTTAGCTATGGCGTTAATGTTTTGTAAAGGTACTTTTCCGCTTAAACAAAGTTGAATTTAAAAATTATAATTTTATTTTTAGCAATATGTGAAACAATTGCTCCTTTTAGACAAATCAAAAGGTTTAAATCAAAAATAAATATTCAGAAACCCAAACCACCACATTTTGAAAAGGCCAAATATTTAGCTCTGGCGAAACCTTGGTTCTTAAGTCAGAAGAAAAATAAAACTTCGCAAGAATTATGCGGAAATGTTCAAAAACTTGCAATTAAGAAGGACGAACCAAATCCATTTCAAAATATAATTGCAAAGGAATTGTATGGTTTGTTTGCAGAGTCTAAGCTAATAGCATTTTGTCATTACAATCCGATGACAAGCAATCAGAAATTCAAAGCTAATATTGCATTTAAAAAGGAACAAATGCATGCCAAACAGTATGGCAAAAAAACTTTAGATTTAGCTTTGAGTGGTACTGCATATGAAAAAGTTTTGGACTTTTATGTCTCTCATAATATGATTATACTGAGCCCAGAACCTAATATTAAAAAATTGTTAAAAATTTTGAAAAAATTTCCACAACTAATTTTGTTAGGTAAATATTAAAATAAATGTCATGCAAATTCTTAATAAAATAATTTTAGCTGGGATATATGAAAACCGCTTAATTAATAGAGATGAATTAACTTACTACAGCTCCATACCAAATATTCAAGCTGCACAAAGTGGTTTGGTGCAGACATTGCAACAAGCTGGTTCACAACTCGTCAGCAACTTGAATCAGCATCAAATCTCACTTGTTTCCAATTTAGAAGAAAGAATTAAACAACTGAAGGAAAAACCAGGGCAAGACTAGATATAATAGATATCCAATACAAAATAAATATTTTTATTTCACTTTCATGACTTTTCTTCTGTGGTACTTGCCTTCAATGTACAAAAGTTGAAACATAAAGTGAAATTTGGTAGACACAAATATCTGATTAAAGGTAAATTTCGAATATAACTTTGGTAGAAAAATTCCATCAGATCCTTTGCATCTTTTAAACTGAAAATGTTACTATTTGGAGGGAACTGAAAATAAAAAAATCATTACTTGGCAATGTATTCGGTGTCCCATTTTTGATGGATCTCCATTATTAATTTTCTTTTTCATATGCTTTGGAACAGCTATTGTCAACCTTTTATTTTAATGGCAATACCTTATTTTTCTGAATAATTTCATATAGAAATTGACTGTTGTGATAAAAATTACCCACTTTTTTAAGGTAATCGCAAAGCTGAAACCATTTAATTTGGGTTTCAAATTTTTGAAATTGGTGGGGTTTTTTTTGGCACACCTGAACTATTAAGTTTCCCAAAGAACCATGTATCCAAACAAAAACAAAGCTATTCTGTTTGTCTGATACTTTTCATTTATAACAACTGAGGTGGCTCAGAAATGAGACACCCTGTACACTTATAATAAATAGTTACTGGCAAAGTGTGACACATTGTGTGCTCCTTAAAAAATATGTAAACTGTCTCCGGTGGCATATTGAATGAACTGGTAAAATACAAGTGGCTCAAATAAAACTGAGATAGGGTGGCTCCGGATTTTTCAACATCAAAGTTGTGATCATTACAAAATTTGTGAACACTGACCATCAGCTCTACGAAAACAGTTTTAGCATTACCTTTGACATTTTGCTTTAGTGTGCAGCCTAAAAATTTTATAAGTCACATTAAAATTTTTAAGTATGTTCTATCTTACCAATAAATTTTTGAATTGCTTTGTATTCACTTAATTTCAAAAATACTTCCACATCGTTTTTGCCTAAATAATCCCATTGGGAAAGTTTGGGTTCTCTAATACTTGCATTGATTGCATTCAAGGCCCACAGCTTGTGTTTAGTAATTATATTTATTTGTGGATGTATCAAGTAATCTTCCAATTTAGGCACATAAGCAATGTTAAGTAAACATGAAATCTGCTTGGAGAGAGTTTCTCTATTCATGTTATAAATGCTTTAATGTCAAAGTCGAAATGCTAATTATTCTTCATTTATATGTGCGAGATATTGTTATTCAAAGATATATATTTTTTGCGAATAAGATATACATAACATAAACATACTATTAAAGACTAGTAGCATATCTTAATCCCATCTAGATCTTTTTTTTACAAATTCTTCAGACCCATCTTCTTTAACTGCACCATAGTATCCCAACCCTTCATATTTTTTTCTCATGTACGCTATGTAAGCTGCACATCCCACAATTGCAATCAGCCCGAAACCCATTATAAATACATTCTAAAATTAAATTATTATCATTTTTAAAAATGAACCTATTGGCGATACACACCGGTTTCGTATACAGTTCGAAATTAACGACCCGAAAGAGACTCGTTGTTCTAACTGATCTTAAGCCATCACCTGGAGTTGGTTTATTTTCCTTGGACATTATTAATTAAAATTAAATTTTTACAGATATTTACTTATAATTTTCACAAACATACTTAAGATCCAACGTTTTTACAATTTATGGCCAAGGGTGTTGGGGCAATACGGCCAGCTTTCTTTTAGTTGCATGCGAATTGTTTTCGACAAGAAAACGAAACGGTTAAGAAGAAGAAATATTCTGTGCATGTGATTCTTGTTTAAAACGAAAATTCGTTACAATTTGAGTTTTTATAACTGACATTGAAACGAATTTTTGCTTGTGAAACGTTTAATGTGTTTTCAACAATAATGAATAGTGGCAATAAATATACACCTGCAACAAAAAAGCTAAAAAGGGAGAAGACGACACTCTCCAGTAATTCCGACTCCGATAAAGATCCAGTACAAGTTTACTGTCGATTACGACCTTTAAAAGATGGTGCCGAACCGTCGCCGTTTATAAAATTGATTTCGTCAGAAACACTCGCGCTAATCACTCCCTCAGAAATAAGAGGAACTAAAAAAGAAATGCATTACAAGTTTAGACACATCTTCACTGCTTTTTCGACGCAACAAGAAATATTCAGTCATGTAGCTTATCCATTGTTAGAAGATTTGCTTAATGCTAAAAACGGCTTACTGTTTACTTACGGGGTTACCGGTTCCGGCAAAACACACACAATTACTGGAGATTATGAGAACCCGGGAATATTGCCTAGGTGCATCGATACAATCTTCAACACTATTGCAGAATATCAAGCTCCAAAATATATAATAAAATCTGATAAAATGAATGGATTTGAAGTGCAGTCTGAAAACGATGCAGTTCAAGATCGATTTCAAGCTGTTCGACATGTACCTAGAACACCAAAAGTTAGGTAAATTTCTTGCACTGCTTATTAAATGTTTTTCCCAAATATATAGATGCCAAAATTCTGGGCTATTATAATATTGTTAGTTTTTTTTTTTGTTTCATAGATTGTGAATTAGTGACATTTGTTTAATTGCTAATTTCAGGAAACTCAGCGACAAAATATCCTACAAAAACGATGGCACTAAAATCCACAACATTGATGAGAACAACCTTTATTCGGTTTTTGTCAGCTATATTGAAATATATAATAACAGTGTATTCGATCTCCTGGATGAATCATCTGGGAAAAGCTTGCAAAACAAAATACTGCGTGAAGATTGCCAAAAAAACATGTATGTTAATGGGGTTGTGGAGGTGGAAGTAAAAACGTCTCAGGAAGCTTTCGAAGTTTTTCAGGCTGGTCAAAACCGTAAAAAAATGGCAGTGACATCTTTAAATGCAGATTCCAGCAGAAGTCACTCAATTTTTAATATAAGAATTGTTCAGCTTGAACAAGTATCCCTGAATTGCGATGGAAAGCCTGCAGTTCCAACAGATAATGTAATAAAAGTTGGACAACTTAGCCTTGTTGATTTGGCCGGTTCTGAAAGAACTAACAGGACAAACAATACTGGTATTAGACTTAAAGAAGCTAGTAGTATCAATAATTCACTTATGTCCCTAAGAGCTTGCCTTGAAATTCTTAGAGAAAATCAAAGGACAAAAAGTTATCGCTTAGTTCCATACAGAGATAGTAGATTGACATTCTTGTTTAAACATTATTTTGAAGGAGATGGATCTGTTAAAATGATTGTATGCATAAATCCATCAGTCGGTGATTTTGAAGAGAATGTGCAAGTTTTGAAGTTTGCAGAAATGACTCAGGATGTTAAGATAAAAAAGCCAGAAATAAAATATACACCTTTAAGAAAGCAATTGAAAGTCAATAAGGAAAATATACATTCAGTAAAAACAAAGATAGGTTTTTCTGACAGGTCATTACCTGATATTCCGATTGTTAAATTTAATTTTGATGATTTGGGTGAGTGTGAGCAAAGGATTGAAAATCTGGTTAATATTTTAAAGTTGCGTAAGCAAAAGGTTAAGGATTTAAACAAAGATATAGAGGAACGACAAGCAGCAGTTAGGAAAAGAGTACTGGAAATGAACCAAGAAAATGTTCTCAGCAAAGCAGAAATTGGGAGTTTGAAAGCTATTGTACAAAAAGAGAAGCAAAGATGTCGTAATTTACAAATTAAAATGACTGATTTAGAAACGGCAAATCAAGAGGTTCAGTCTAAAAATGATAATCTCCAGGAAATAATTCGGTCATTGCAAAACACCATTACTGAGAAAGACTTGAAAATAAATCAAAACATTTTAGAAAAGGAGAAAACCAAACAAAAACTTGCTTTGGCTAGTGAAAAGATGAACCAAGAGTTAGATTCCAAGCTAAGAAGGCAAAGGGAACATCTTAATGCTGCCATGAAGGCGAAAGATGAAAAGTTGAGAATTGTAAAGGAAATAATTGAGAGTGAGATGCCACCTGTAGAGGTAAATAGTACAAAAGCAGAACCGGAAAATGTTAAAACACAATCCCTTCAAACTCCATTATCAAAATCATCAATAACAACTCCACAACGTAGGAATATGCTGGCTACATCTACACCGAGACCTAGAAGGTCAAGATCAGCTGGTGAAGTCTGGTTGGAACATAATGCAATTAAACCTTGTCCTTTAGGTACTGTTTTTCAACCGACTATGAAGAAAAGAAAATCAGTTTCAAAATTAAGTAAAGCAACTGATGTAACAAATCCAAAACAAAGCAAATATTGTCTGATTGCCCAAGAACCTGATACTGAAGGTGAAATGGAAACGAAGATGTATAAAGGGGACATTGTTCAAACTTGCGGTGGTGGGGCGCAGGTGATTTTTAATGATGTTGAGAGACTAAGGCAAGAATCACCTACCAGAGCAAATCACTAATTTAGCCATATGATAATGTAAACTCTTAAGTCGTAATATTCTTTTGTATATTTTTAATTTTTATTATATAATGGGAAACCATTAGTTCTTAGATATGGGTTGTGTTTAATTTAAATAAATCGCCAATAGGCAAAATATTTAATTTTTATTGTTTTATTGTGAATAAATAAATTCCTAGTCAAAAATAATAGAGTAATTGCCTAAAATGTGATATTTTAGTAAGATAGGAATCTTATTTTCATTTACCACATATGAAACCAGAAAACGACTGTAGACGACATTATCCAACATCTTTATTGTTAAACTAGGTATAATTTTATTCTTGCAATATTATAAATTTTCTCTAAAATATTGAAAATTGTTAAATGAAAAAACAATGCTAATCCGTACCTGTCCAATTAATTAATGACATCACGAATTCATGGCGTCCTACTAAATATTGTCGGAAAATGATCCTTATGTTCAAAGCCCATAAGGCTCGGGGATGTCGGCCATTTAATTTGTGTAACTTCACAAAACGCAGTTTACCCACAATCGACCAGTGGAGGAAAGGAAGCTATTTACGGTAGTTGGTTGAATGTATACACATTATTTTCTTCCAAAATTTGGGCTAATACTCAATTGTGATGGAAGTTAAAGTGGATACTGTAGAAATTGATTTAAATAAAATTTGTAGAATTTGTTTGAACGAAAGTACTGATATGAGATCCGTGTTCATACCAGACGAATCAACAGGGCAGGCTATAGTCCTCGCAGATATGCTTATGGGATTTGCAAATGTCCAGGTAGGGGATGATTTAAAAAAAAATACCTTTAAGTTAATACCACACGTACACGGTATCTTTAGTGTAGTCATCATTCTTATTAATATCAAATATTAAGAACACAGGTTACCTTTATGGACATCACAGCAAAAAGTTGTTAATGTTTGATCAATTAAACAATTTTCATATTAATAGTGGACCACTTTGTATTCACTGGCAGATGGTTAAAAACAAAAAAAATACATTTTTGCAATTATTGTATTAGGTTGAAAATGAAGATGGACTTCCTGGCTTGTTATGCATCCAATGTATTCATCAAATGAGCAGGGCCTATTCTTTCAAGCAGTTATGTGAACAATCAGATTCAAACCTTAGACAGTATCTCGGTAAACCCGCAAAATCAAAAAACACATGCAAGGCAGAAGACAGCACAACAAATGAAGATTTTCCATCAAATTTGCTCTTAGACAATTTTGGATTAGAATATTCCTCAGACGACAGCGAGGATGATTTCAAAGAGGATTTGATTTTGTTGACAGCTAATCTTCCAGAAAATTCCACAGATGAGAAAGTGATAGCTCAAAAACAACTTTTGAAGGCAACAAAATTGCTTAAAAGTAAATCGAGAAAGAAATTACTAACAAAAAATGGAAAGTTAAGTGGTAAGTTGAAACTTTTTAGAATTGACTGAAAAATCAATTTTTTTATTATTTTTTTGTTTCTAGCATTGTCATTAAAAAATATTAAGCGCAACACAAATCAGTGCAATGTGTGCAAGAAGCAGTTTGTCAATTTAAAATCATTTCGTAAACATTTACGTAGTCACATTGATGATCGACCATACAAATGTAAATTGTGTCCGAAAAGTTTTACTGAAGACAATTACCTAAATAATCATATGAGAACGCATATCCCTGATGAGCAAAAACCGCACGAATGCAACATTTGTCAAAAACGCTTTATCCATTCTACATTATTAACCAAACATATGTTGAAACATTCTGGTGAGAAGCCGTTTGTGTGCAAAATTTGTAATAAAGGTTGCTATGCTGAGAATAGCTTGTGGAAACATATGAAAATACATGAGAAAAAGGAGGGAGACCCGGCTTTACTAAAACATATCTGTGATTATTGTCGAACAGAATTTCCTGATGCCCAAACACTATCAGTACATATCAAACAACATACAGGAGATAGACCTTTTTTGTGTAATATTTGTGGAAAGTGTTTCCCTCAAAGGTTTAATCTCGATTTGCATATTAGAACCCATACAGGTAAGAACTCAATACAAACTTGACTATTTGTGTTTTAAAAATTTTAATGAGATTTTGTTGCACAACCAAATGACTTAGACAGTACCTTCGCTAGAATTCTTTGATGTCTAAAAATGAAAATTAACCTCCCCATATAAAGTCTTACATTTTGTATTTTTAAATTTAGAAATTGTTAAATTAAAATAGCATTTCCAAAATTAGGCAGTGTGGTTATTTAAGTTGATATTTTTAAAAAAATAATTTGACAACAAAAATACAAATTTTGAAAGTTGATAAATGTTTGATGAGTATATTAAGTGGTCTTAGAACGGTTGCTACAGAGCATGCAGAATATACAAAATATTAATAGTTTTTTGTTTTGTATTTACCTGATGCGTTCATAAATAAAATTTATTCTAATGATATTAAAATAATAACTGGCATTGTAATTTTTAATAAATGTAGCAACTTTGTAGATTTTTGAAAAACAAATGTTTTAGCGAATAGAAATAAACTCTAAAAAAATAATAGTAATTTGTAGTTGAGATTTGTATTTGTAAGGTCCAGAGCTGTTTGATTTTTTCTCGTCCCTCTCTTATCACAGAATAACATCTATTGCTCTCCCTTCCTGGAAATTGTATTCTTACTAATGTTATTATTAGAGTTGTGGAATTGACCGTCAATTTTTTTTTTTTCAATTGACCGAAATAATGTTAAAAATATTATGGAATTTATATATTTTTATTTGAATTTATTTATATTGTGCCTAATGTCGCCATCACGTCTTTGTCCGAACCAAATGGAGTCAATATTATTATTTGGATTCCCGGACTCGCTAAGTATCCTATTTACATACTCTTTGAAGAGGGTCATAGGTAAATTGAACATCACAAACGCATAATAAAATGATAGATAACACTCTAGGGTTGTAAGATGTTATTTAAAACCATTTCTAAACTAGTCAATTAAGAAGATCACTAGACATTTAATTATCATTTTTCAAAGTCATAAAGTTTTTTTCTCCGCGAAATATATATTGAATTGAATAAAAATAGTTATGAATAAAATTCTTTAACTGTGTCATTTTTTGACATTTTAGGTGAAAGACCGTTTGAATGTGAAGTTTGTAAAAATGGCTATGTGTCAAAGGCTAGTTTAAAGATCCACATGCGCACTCATACCAATGAACGCCCGTTTGCGTGTGACTTTTGTGGCAAAGCTTTCCGACAATCTGGAGACCTCACAAGTCACAAACGATTGCATGGTACAGAAAAACCCATTGAGTGTGAAATTTGTCATAAACGGTATGTTTTTATTGTGTTTTTAAAGAAACTACTACACTTATACTTTTTATAAAACTTCTAGATTCTTCACGTGTTGGTTTTTGTTGAGTCGTACTAGCTAATGTTTCGCCAATCATCCTGTTGGCTTCTTCGGAGATTCGGTCAATCTCTGAAGAAGCCAACGAAACATTAGTTAGTATGACTCAACAAAAACCGACGCAGCAGGAATCCAGGGGTATTATAAAAAGTATGTTTTTATTGATTGTGGGTCCCCTACACCAGAATTGATTTATTTTTGCAGCTTTACCACTGTTATGAAATTAAAATATCACATGCGAAATCATACAGGGGAACGGCCCTATGTATGTGGTGTATGTAACAGAGGATTTACTGTAAATACAATTCTTTTACGCCATATGCGCGTGCATTCAGGTGAAAGACCGTACGTGTGTGTGACTTGCGGCAAAGCATTCTCCCAGTCCAGTACACTTAATACCCACATGAAAGTACACACATCATCTCCGAAATACACGAATCAGGATGAATCAAGACTGGCCAAGTTTGAAAATACAAATGCAAATGAACAGGTAATTGGTTTACTTCAACATTTTCTATTCTTTATATTGTTGCACTTTAAGTTTCTGCAACTGGATCCTTTAGTGAATTTATTATTTTTGCACTATTTTTCTTAAAATTACAATCGATTTAAACAATTTTAAGATGTCCTGAATATATTAGACCAATCAAATAGAGACGGTCACTCATTTAATGATATAATCTATAGCTAATCGTTGCACTAAACATGACCTAATTACTTTTAAAATGTGAAAGCTGATTCTACGAATTTGGCCTTTATTTAGCTAAGTAATTTGTTACAGAATTTCAATTCACAGCAGCATCCATCTCAGCAACCGCAACCTGCTGCTCCTCAACCTCAACCCCAACAGCAAATGGTTGATCATACGAACCGTTTGATTCAAACTGATACGAGAATGCTGACGACAGAACCAATTAGAATGCTACAACCTGACAATACTAGTCACGAGGTTAAGCTTTTCACAGATACTACACACTTATTGACTGACAATAGAGGCATATTGACAGATAACTCTAGAATATTGGTGAATGACCCTCGTTTGGTGGTTAATATAACTGAACCAGCACGACTGCTGGTAAATGACAATTCAAGGAATTTGATCAATGATAACAGGCTGGTGACAAATGACAACCGTCTTTTGAATAATGTTAATGAGAATAGGCATTTAGTAATTGAAGGAACAAGACTTTTGGCTGATAAATATCTGGCTTATGATCCCTATCACCGCGGACATCTTTAATATATTCTCCGTTTGATTATTTATTGTAATGTTTATAAAATGTACAAAAATTTCCTATTTTGTATTGGCTATTCTATTTTTTAATATAATTTTGGTTAAATAATTTCGTACAATTATCTTTTCCTCTAATATTTAAGAAAAAAAGAACAAAATAGATCCCACATGAAAATCAAAGAAAAAGGGATACAGATTTATAATTTTTAAATTTTGTTCACGTGGGACTCTGCACCTGAAATATTTTTAAAATCTTATACATATTTGATCTACGATTCTCAAATATGTTCCATTTAAAATAAGTAAATGTCTACTTCTGGTTAGTTTTTTCCTACCCTGTCTTATGGAATTATAAAGCAAATACCCTGTGATGAAACTTCCTCTATGATATTATAAAAGGAGTTTAAGAGATAATTTAAACATGTGTTCTCACGAAAAAATATATTTAACAAAACTGATGATAAATCATGACAACAAAAATAATAAATTAAAAGTCAGTAACTCTGCCTTTTCTTTCCCAGTCACCGTACCTGGTAGGTTCAGGCCCTTTTGGACCACCGATTTCACCAGTATGTGGATTAGTATTATGTGGCCATGGTGGCAGTGGTTCCTTCTCCTCATAAGGGTGTTTAGCTAGAGGTTCATCCAATTTACCGATTGGTGTCTTTTCACGTAATTTTTTTTTGAACTCCTGCATTTTTGGACTGAGCTGCTTATCGGAGACATGCCTTATACCTGAAGTTACAGTACATAATGTTATGTATAGGAATCATAACAACTTTACCAATCAGTGCAATAGAGTTATTTATAGGATTCCTGAGTTGTCGAAGCATGCGATTCATAATACTCATTCGAAACTTGTTTTAAAGTATTAGTCCCTGGCTAGATATTTTCTCATTTATTTGTAAAATAAACCTACTTTATTTAAAAAGCAGAACTCCGTTCGTTTTCCCTATAAAACGAAAATCAAAAAATTTTACGTCAATTGACAAACGGTTTTGGTAAGTCTAATAATATGCACCTGCACAGAACATCACATGCTACGTTTCGCTACATCTACTTACTAATTTTAATAAAATTGGTAGATAAAATAATCCGCAACCTTTTCCTGAATTTGTGTCTGAAAATTAACGTAAAGCGTTTGTTTTCATTAATTTATAGATTTTCCATAGATTAAAAATATTTTCTTTCTCTGTTCCATAGTTGGTGTATGTGCCCTTGACTCTTTAAATGTTTGCAGTTTTACTCATGTCAATATCGCAACACTATTGCGATCCACGGGGCATGAGTCTCAGAAACGCCGTAGCCAAATGTAAAGGTAACCTTGATTCACGAAGTAACCATTGCACATGGCGCACATTGGTCCTGCCCGGTTCTATAAAATGTAGAAATCGATTAAAATCAGTGTCGTTTGTTTTAAACTAGTCTTTTGTATATTTGTTTTCAGAAGTGATAAAGGCGCACTGCCTATAAATTTGGGAAATAGTATTCGTTTCAAGCGGATGTATGATATGTTATGTCATTGCATTATGTTTATGTTAACATAGTTTCCAGATGTCTTAAATTTACACTGGTAACCAGGCCAGATGGGATCGGATATTCCGTATGAGATAATTGCGGGAGCCGTCAGAAGCACCGGTCGTCATTTTATGACAAATAATTTAGAAGTTGTTTCACTGTATAAATATGTTAATTCATTGGATATTGGATTGATTCGTGAAGTCCCTTTTAATTACTGCACCCTTCCAGGTTATAAAGAAGTAACCATACGCCCATAAAATAGCCGAATGATCCTAGCAGTCTTGGCCAATTCAAGAAGGAGAAGAAGTTAACCTTAATTTAATTTATAAATTTACCAACCCTTTAATAAAATATTTTTGCTTGGTTTATGAATTAAATAAATTAATGAAAAGGAAGAAAAATAGAAAACAAATTCAATAAGTTATTTTTAGATTTTATGTATCTAACAGAACCCTAAATGACAATTTTTTGTTGAATATTGCAGAAACATTTGTCTGCAATGAATGTGGGACAAAATGCGGTACAAAAGGCAATATTAATATTCATGAAAAGAAAACAGATTTCGATTCGGTGATCCCAAACCTTCGCATAGGTGTTCCAACGTAGGGGCGGTTAATTTTGGCAACTTAATTAATTAATGGTCTTAATGATGCCAAACCCTCGAAATTTTGACCTTATATCTGACTCATGCGCATTGACCCGCAACAATTAACACGCCACTAAAAGACGTGAACGCTTAAATTAGCAAATTACCGTAAGTCTAACGTTCGGATATACAAAAGCTGTTCTACCTGAAATCAACTAAGACATTACTTATTAGACATTATTAGTTAGTCAGAATATATTAGTTTCAATTGACCAAGTGAAATTTTACTTAGTAAAAACAATTATAAATGAATGACTGTGGTAACAATTTCACAATGAATATATTATTCCATTAATGTTAGGATATTATTATATTAAATATTAAATTAACACAGTATCTTGCTGGGTAGAGACAGGGACACATAATTCAAAAATATGTTTTCTTTATCTTTCACCACATTTTGCCTAAATAGTATGATAAGAATGCAGTATTTGGTGGAATGTCCGTAACTCCGAATATCATATAAGTGTGAAGCTTTGGCACTTCCGACAATATACTAATTGCATTGAGGTCACTGTTCTTCCCGTTCGAATATAAAAAAAATAATAACTATTTACTCAACTGGTCCAGCCTATATTCTTTGAAATTTAAATAAATAAATCCTTTGCTCAGACTTACACGCGCAGAAATAGGGGAAGAAATAGCTGGTAATTTTATCTGCCAAATTTCTTGCAACTTGGTAGTAGACACATTGAAATATTAACATGAAATTTTTTGTAGAAAAGTAGAATTAAATTAAATTACACGAGAACATGAGTTTACATTAGGTACAAGAATTACAATTAATGAGAAAGGGTATTTACGTGTATATTGATGTAAAAATTAAATTATTGGTAGTTAGTTCTGGTTATGCACTTCTGCTGCATTAAAACATTAAATAGAATCCTCTGTATATAATATATTTTTTTAATTATTTGGTCTCTGGACCAATTTCATTGTTTTTGAATTGATTTTGAAAACACGGATAATGAGCATGATACGTTTAATTGTTCCTCATTGTGAGAGTCTAAATGGATAATTGTTCAATATTTTAAGAATAGTTAACAAAAATATATTTAAACATACATAAACGAATTTGAAATAGTAATGTCAATATTACTGGTGTCTTGATTTTTTTGTAGGTGGAACTGAGGACTCTTTGTTTTGTTCATTATTTTCTTCCAGCCCACTTCTGGTGGTACTCAGAGTCTCCGGCGCTACACTACTAGCCTGCGTTGCATCAATTTCCCCTGCCTCTTCTAGGATTTCTTTGAGCTTTTTTATTCGAAAATCCCGAACTGTTCCTGACCCAACATATTTTGATAAATCGCATTTAGTCTTTTTCGAAAGTTGGATGACGGTCTTGCTGAACTGTTCGATCTCATAGATAACTTTCGGGATGATTCTCGTTTCTCGTAACACTTTACTCTTCATTACTGACGAATCTACAGTTTTTTTCTTTGCCTGGGTTTCATTTTCTTTAGGTTGACTTTCATCTATATGCAGAATCAAGTTATATACAAGTGGAGCTAAATTTTTGCCAGCCAACTTTACAAGGTTTTCAAACCTAAAAAATGATTTTTTTTTGCTTTCCATCTACCGGGTTTTTCCTCATAATTTGCCACACTTGTTAAAATTTTTATTTAAAGATAAAAAAAAGTTTGAAATGAATTTTATAGTTTTGACTAAATCAAACTTGCTGGCTAGCATCAATATAGCCTCATATTTTTAAAAAATTGAGTTAATGTAGAGAAAATTGAAACATAATCCCAATAATGGCACAAAAAGGAGTGGCGAATCATAAGGAAGTGCTATTATGGTGCACATATTACCTTGCTGTCTGAAACGCTAAATTGGTTTTTGATGACTTGGTTAAGAAGTACTTGGTAAGTGACGTAAGTGAAGAGTAAAACTGCATTAGACTTTTGAATATCGCATCTGATAAATTACCGGCTGGGATGGCGATGGCGGTTAAATTAATTAGAATTTTGTTTACAAAACACAGTTGACAAGAAACTGCTTTCTCTTTGACGCGTAAATCATCTTTTTCTAAAATAATAATTTTAGATTTCAATTCGGCGAGAACAATTAGAAAACATTTAATACTTTTTTCAATATTTTCCTCTCCTGGAAAAATTATGATGGAGTAATCGGATTTCAATCTTGCGATTATATTATCCAAATCATCCAATATTGCTTTTAAATTGCCACACAGAGATAATATGATGTAACTGTAAGTGCCGGCATTTACAATTTTTATGGTGACATCATTATCTGCTTGAGTAGTATCCTGAAAATGTGTCGGACAACATAATATAATCAAAGAAATTTTCTAACATCACATTTGCAGAAAAATAACCCACCTCTCCTATGCCACCTATACAGTTCTTAAGACTTCGCGAGATATTTTCAAAGAGTGACAGTCCGATTTTATGTTTGACGTGTGTTTCAAAAAGCAAATTCATTAAAACACCAGCAACCTTTCCTGTAGCAGCTTTCTCATTTGCCTGGGTTTTCATCCAATCATACAACTAAAAATAACGAGGATGTCAAAACAATATAGTTCTTAATTATTGGTTTTAAAAATTAAATATTTTGGCAAGGATTGGGTGAGATGCATAAGATGCATATTATTATCGGACTTAATATTTATTTTTATAACACATTAAAAGAGACCTAGGTGGCCTTCTGTTATAGAGTAACAAACTGTATATATATATATATATATATATATATATATATATATATATATATATATATATATATATATATATATATATATATATATTCGAAGTGATTCCAGTCGGAGTTCAACAAGCGAACGGATTATATCCCGGAATATAGTGTCATATATATATATATATATATATATATATATATATATATATATATATATATATATATATATATATATATATATATATATATATATATATATATATATATATATAAATTGGTAAATTAATTATTTCTTAACAATTGCAACCATTTTTTTAAATTTCTTTCTGAAGCTGATAACACAAAAATAGCTGACAGGCACCATAGCGTCATTGTTTTTCTACAGTTACTTGACAAGAATTATATGAATGCTAATGAAGTTAATACAAACATATATATATATATATATATATATATATATATATATATATATATATATATATATATATATATATATTCGAAGTGATTCCAGTCGGAGTTCAACAAGCGAACGGATGATATCCCGGAATATAGTGTCATATATATATATATATATATATATATATATATATATATATATATATATATATATATATATATATATATATATATATATATATATATATATATATATATATATATATATATATATATATATATATATATATATATATATATATATATATATATATATATATATATATATATATATATATATATATATATATATATATATATATATATATATATATATATATATTCTCACGTATTGATTCACGGATGGAAAAATGTGATGACACTATATTCCGGGATATCATCCGTTCGCTCGTTGAACTCCGACTGGAATCCTGCATCCGACTGGAATCCTGCAAATCTTGCATCCGACTGGAATCCTGCAGACGTTTCGCCAAAATCTCACTTGGCATCTTCAATGCTCGCGCTCCGAAAACACCAGTGTTCGAAGTGTTTTCGGAGCGCGAGCATTGAAGATGCCAAGTGAGATTTTGGCGAAACGTCTGCAGGATTCCAGTCGGATGCAAGATTTGCAGGATTCCAGTCGGATGCAGGATTCCAGTCGGAGTTCAACGAGCGAACGGATGATATCCCGGAATATAGTGTCATCATATATATATATATATATATATATATATATATATATATATATATATATATATATATATATATATATATATATATATATATATATATATATATATATATATATATATATATATATATATATATATATATATATATATAAATTGGTAAATTAATTATTTCTTAACAATTGCAACCATTTTTTTAAATTTCTTTCTGAAGCTGATAACACAAAAATAGCTGACAGGCACCATAGCGTCATTGTTTTTCTACAGTTACTTGACAAGAATTATATGAATGCTAATGAAGTTAATACAAACACTGTTTAATATTTAACTTATTATACAGTCACTCCAAGAATTCCCCGTATTCCTCATTAACTTTAACCATTTTTTAAGTTTTTTCACTGTACTCTACTGTTATGCATAAATTCAAGCGCTACAACGTAATTTTCTATAACCCAGTTTAGGGAACCAACCTGTAATGCAACAACATTGCTATTGGTAGGAATTACATCTGCCAAAACCGTCAATATATTTGCCACTATAAGAGATATTTTTTTTACATCTGGATCATCGGAAGTGTTATCTTCGGCAGTCTCATATAAGTTTTTAAAATTCTCGATTAATGACCTTAGATGTTCCAACATAGATTCTTCTTCACCGTTAGTGGCATCTAAATTTCAATAATGAAAATGTTGTTGTTCCTGCACACAAAGTGCAAAAACTTACCGATATCACTTAAGAAATTGGAAATATTGCTCTTAAATTGCCCAGTCATTATCACTAAAATAGCATGAAAGCATTCAAGACCAAGAATGGCAGCAGGACAATCAAAATCAACATATTCATTGAATTTACACAAAATTCTGGTATATATTACATTTGCAATTGATGTTATGTCTTTATATGAGCGTTTCTTATGTTCGCTGTCTATAAATTTCTCGCTCTTTACTTTGTTGACCAGAAACATAGCTGCATGCAGGAAATGTCTATGCAAATCAGTTTTGGTTTTTATTACGACCGCATTTGTGTTGGAAGTCCATATTACGCTAGGCCTACAATTGATGCTATAAATTATTATAACAATATCCCGAACATCTGCTTATGGATAATTTATAATTATAAATACATATTTGTATACAGTAACGCAATACTAATAATTATGTTTTTCTGAAAGGTGTAAAATAAGTCAAATAAGATAATAAGGAATATATAGGGTGTTTGTTTTCTGTTGAATGAAATTTTCACCTTGAAATTTATCTTAAAAAAATTACGCGAAACACTACATAATCAGGTTCTACTTTCTTTATGCATTTAAAGACATTAGGTGCGATTTGTGTAATACAAAAATAATACATATGTTACAGTTAAGTTAGCGGACTAAAGATATTAGATATACATGTGTATAAGCTTGTCCTTTATTAGACTACAACAAAGCCAAGAAGATTTGGAAAATAGAAACAAAAAGTAACTACCAAGGATGAACTTATGGGCCCCTAAAACGTGTAAAAATTCGTTAAAATAAGAAATAGGTACTATAAAAGAAATAACCACTGTTTAGCAAAAAATTGACGGAAGCTTACTCGAGCAATGTTTTCAGAGCTTTATCCACTGTTGACATCTTCAATATTGTATCAGGAATTTTAAACACTTTTGAGTTTGATCTTTGATGAATTTCATTTTTTGTTGTATTATTTCCTCGAGTCTGGTTATGTTTCGTGTTATTTTGGGATTGGGTATTTTTTACATCAATCTTTTTGCCTTTCTTTGGCTTGTGAGAAACCTAAAATATCTGCATTAGATGCATAAGAAGTACAAATGTGTACTGTGTACTTACCTTTGCGAAATACAGAAATCGGTTGTAGCCCTGCATCAGACCGTTTATGGAAAGACCTTGGTTTTCTGATGTAATTGTCCAAGACGATATTTTATAGCCAATGAGGGCCTCATACACTGTAAGCGCCTCTTTTAGGATATGCATTTTGTGTTGACTTTCAGGCAAAGTGTCAAAAAGATCTGTACCATCATCCTACATTAATTTGTTGTTAATGTTAAAATATTTTTATTTATAAGCAATCTAGTAGACGGCAAAATTTCAAGTCATTTTGTCATTATTTTTGCTTGCTTTTTACTGCTGCAAATTTTAATAATCAGAATGAGGTAGTAAAACATATATTTTTGAAATTTGTAAAACAACTCACAAGATCCTTAATTCATTTGTTTTTACCATGATCAGTATTTATTTTTCATTACGAACACCATATTGGATTTTTTCATTTTGAAAATTCATTTCATTGACATATCAGTAGCTATTGCATTCTTTATTCTAGTAGGCTGTGAACAATCAAAAATCCAAAAAACTCGAAGCCTTATCTAAAAACCACTTCAATTTTTCCAAAATATCTGAAAAATTATATTAAAAAAACTTTTCATATAACAATTTTTCTATATTTTATAGTTTATGAGATCTCAAATGAATAAAATAGATTGAAGATTTAATAAAATCAATAACCCCCTTGAAATTTTGCCGCATAATTATATACGCCCGATATATACCAATTCAAGGTGTATCAATTCACAGTTGATCATTCGATTACAGAGAGATTCCATAAATTGGAGATATTTTACTACTGTAGAATTATCCCTGTCTTCCTCGGATTCCTGAACTTTGGTTAAAATTTGAGATATGGCAAAAACAAATTTACCCAGAGGTTCCTAAAAAATATTACGTGTATGTTATTATTATTAATATAATAATATATGTCGAAATTGTACTTGTAAGACGCTGTCTGTGTCACGAAGATTAGCTACTTTGCCGAAATTTAAAGGTGGTAGAGCTTCTTCATTGATAATATAATATTCAAGAAAATGAAACCATAAAACATCCAATACTGGAATACCCAAGTCAGGGTTTACAGATACCGCATAGTATAAACCTAAAATACAATTTCAATACAATTACAGTTCTAAGCAATTTGAACTTCCAACAATGATATATAATAGCTTCTTTTATTACTATTTTAATGATGATTACCAGTTAACTTGCTAAAATTCAAATTATATTGATAAATTCGAGCTTTAATTTCACTATGACATTAAGAATAAAGGAAGGCTATCATGAAAAAAGCACCCAAAAATAGCTTCAATAACTTTGCACGATTATAATAGTGAAAGTTAAATTTGAAACACAAAGAATAGGTAAATAGTTTCACTTAGTTTATAAAAACAGAACCTTCGTATAGTCTGGAGCGTACTTCGGCCTGCTGAATAAAACACCTCTTCAAAATGCCCAAAACCTCAAAACAAATGGCTTCGCCACTAAAGCTACTCGACCCCACTGTCTGAGTAGACCTGTTCAGCGATATTTGCGTATACAGAGAATGACCCGATGAGAAAGATCCACTGTTACTTGATTGACTCAAAATCAAAAGGTTTGATATTTTTGTATTAGATATTAATTTTATGAAACCGTCCACCGCAGTCTGTCTCGTTTCAACCGACCTATAAACAATTAAATCTTGATACCCTTTTAAATTAGCCTGTTTGATGTTACCTAGAATATAAAGCTTTCCTCAACACCAATATAAGCTGATCACGAATACTAGGCAGCACTCTCGCCAAGGGTATTAAGGCATCGAGTAACTGATTTCCCACGTTTCCTGGGATCTGCACTAAGCTTTCCGTTAGTTCGACAATAGAGCTCTGATTTTCCATCATAAGAAGTGGAAATGATTTGCTCAGTAAATAGAGGCATTCTAAAAATTATGCAATAATCGCGTAGTAATCATTGGTCATTTCTCACAGGCAGCCGCATAAGCCAATAAACAAAGAAAAAAATAAGTGACTGTGCAAAGAAGAATTGGTATTATACAAGGGAGACATTTGTTAATTCATCACATATTCCGATAACACGACAATTAAAAGAAAACAAACAAAATTCTCAAGACTATGTGATCAATCACATTTTTGAAGATAGGACATCCTGTAAAATAATTACAAGAAAACAGTCACTAATTCTAAAGAGCATTGGAGAAACTTTAATTTTTTAATATCAAAATGAGACCAGACAAGCCATTCATAAATTGCACAGGAATGCCATTGCCACATTTTAATTTATTTGCTTCTGTGTAATAATTTGCGGAAGTATTGTTTATCGATTATAAATTAATATTTATTATTTAAATTAAAAAATCATTAATATTTAATGAGGGAACATGAATTATTGTAAAGTTGTTTTGATCCAGGCTAGCCAAAACTGTTCATTCACTTAGAAACCTGAGAATCCACACTTCCAGCTTCAAGTTTAATTACAGAGCTTACTTGCAGCTCATCATTCCAAGATTGTAATTTATCAATTTTTCAGCGGCAGATGACGTACTGCTGGTATTATGAACTCTCGCTGAGGCTTTTTATGAGTTCTGAGATACCACACCCACGACTTGTCTCCTTTGGATACCACAACATTGTTTAGCACTTACCTATGTACTGAATTGCATTCTGTCTTGAAAAAATGTTGTTAGTAAAAGTTTTTAAGATTACAGGAGCAACATGTCGTTTATATTTTATAATTTTTAACAAAATCATGGTCCCCAAGGACCATTGTTTCTCAGCAATGATGTCCCTCCCTAAGGCAGATCCGACGCTTAATAGCGCAAATCCGAAATTAACCATTGGTTGCAAAACCAATTCCTTGTCGTGTAAGCTAGGATAAAACAATATTAAAGTTACACTTTAATTTTTTAATTAATTAATATACCCAATGTCTAAAACCTGGGTAAATATCTGTTCCGGTTTACAGTTTTGGAGCATCAAATCTCGATAAAAGTAAGAACACTGCTTTTTGTGCTCTTCCATAAATGATCTCACAACTGCTGGTCGAATAATATCAAACACCATTTCCTCATAATGTTGGATTGCTGATATTGTTAAGAGAACTAGTAACTGGAAAGGCTGCAGAATAAATTCAGGAGACTTTACTACATTTTTTAGAGAATTTAAGTAATCTTTAATGGAGTTATGACCTAGCGCTGCAGCATTATGAATATGGAACAAAACAGTACTTTCTGTGTCTAATATGTCATGATTCTCAGCATTTTCTAAAAAATTAATTTTTTATATAAAATGCCTTCCCTATATATGCCCCAAAACCAAACTTACCAATTATATCTAAATCTGGACTGTCTGAATTACTGGGCCTGGAAAAATTTGGATTGATGTAAACTCTCAAATTAAAATAGTAGTTAAGCTTTATGAATACAATTTTGCTATTGTGGTGCCGACACAATCTTAAAAGCTGGTATACGAATGGTGGAATTTCTTGGGGAGTCATCCTTCCTATGTAGGATGTCAATTTGGTAACTATTTTCAGATGTTCTTCTTTTGTCAAGGGAATATCACTAAATTAATAATATATATATGGTGCAACAAGTGAATACTTAAACCATACTTAAACATAGAGGTAATACTAGTGACGATATTGGGACTCCAGTTTCCTATACATAAAGTGTTAATAAAATTGGATTTAAATTCTGCTCCTGTATACTCTAATCCGTTATAATCTACAATATCCCTTTGAGTCAAAATTTGTAAAACATCTGGTAAGATATCTTTCCAACTAAAATTAAACACTTACATCAGCTGGACTAATTAAATTAAACCTACACAAAGCAATTTAAAAATACAAAATTTTTTATATTCCAACATTTTATACTTACATCATATTGGAACTTTCATTGGTGGACTGAATAGAGGACATACAAATGTTGCAAATTTCTACTAAGTGTACTGATTTAAACTTTGGAAGCTCAACACAGATATCCTGAACCACACATAAAGAGTTTGATGATGAAATTTCCCTTTCTTGAAGTTCTTTTATCAGAGTTAAAACTATCCCAATTCTTTTTTCATGACATTCTATTGAATCGCTTATTGATTGTAATAGATATTTCCATATTTTTGGAAAATTCGAACTAATTACACGGTTTTGAATCAGTTCAATTACCTATCAATGCAATTAATAAATTAAGGCGGCGTTTTTCTCTTTCCTTACCTCTTCCTCGGAATTTAAAATTAAGTTCTGAAGAGACTGGGTATCCTTTTTCTGACCATATTCTAAAATTTGCTTCTCTAGTGTGTCCATGACAAAATTTTTACAAATTTTCAAAATTTCGTCTGAAAACCGCCAACGCTAATACATAACTTAATTCTTCCTTAATAATTAAATCCCCACAAATTTATTCATGCGCATTATCCTGGATCCTCAAACCCATGTGCGGTTTGTACCTAAGTCGTAACCCACGGACGATAAACAAAAGAGCTTAACCAGAATTGTCACTTTCCATTAACGTACAAATTTATTGCATTAAAAGCCAAAATAACAGCATTAAAGGTTCTTTTGCTTTTACTTCTGTTGGAAACGACTGAACAGCATTAAAGGTTCTTCTTCTCTTCTTTACTTTTGTTGGCCAAAACTGCTAGGATCATTCGGCCAAGCATTAAAGGTTAGAGTGATTTTACTTCTAATGGCCACGACTGCAATAGGTCACTCGGCCATCTTACGATGAGTGTAACATGTACAAAAATCTGAAGAATGCCTTCCTTAAAAAAGGGTCTGGACCAATCCATCATCCTCCAGGTTAGTTAACATATACAAAAACGGGGACAACTTCTAAGTATTGTCATAAAATGACAACCGATTCTTCATACGACTCCGGCAATTATCCTATACGGGATATTCGCTCCCATCCGGCCTGGTAACCACTCACATTGGTTACACAGGACATCCGGAAACCGTACTAACATATAGATCATGGAATAACACATCACAAATCCATGTACATCCGCGTAAAAAGAACACTATTTCTAGAAATTATAGGCACTGCACCTCTATCACTTCAGAAAACAAATGTACAAAACAAAATTTTCTTTAAACGACACTAATTTCAACCGATTTCTACAATTTTATTGGAACCAGGCAGGAGCAACGTCCGCCATCTACATTGGTTCCATCGAAAGTCCAGCATATTTTTTTGAGATTTGCTTCTTCTAGTCGATAAAATTCGTTTCGTCAAGGTTTACTCTGCCGAATTTATATTAATAAAAGTAGATTGTTCGATTTACCGTTTTTGGGCGAATATCCACATCCATAGTTGTTTTCGATTCCGTTTCAGTGGAATTTACCAAATCTTTTCAGTGGTAGAAAATCGAGCATTTTCTGGATTCTCGAATCACGAAATCAAGTGGCAAACGTTCAAAGTTCGTTCAAGTTCGGCGTTTTCGGATAAAGGTTTTTAAGTTATTGCCGGCGTTTTTACTGAACTTTCTCCACCATTTTACGTTGCTTAACAAGGTACGTATGTGTAGGAAGGTGTATTAATTAAAACTATAGTAATTTATTATGTTCTAATCTTTTGTAACCCCTTTGTAAAACATGTTCGCCATGTGCTTTTATTCTTGCAATCTAATCCAAGTCACACGATAAATACCTAATACAACAATTTTTCTTTGAACTTTTTTTTTCCAATTTTTATCTTTTGATCTAGTAAACCAAGAAAAAATCCTAGCTTGTCATTTTGAAGTTTTATTTTAAAAAATATTTTGCGATTTTTCATTTTACATTCATGTAAATTTTAATTCTAGATGTACAGGGTACCGTTAGCCATGCGATCAGTGGCATTACGCAAGGCTCACCAAGTCAATCAATTGCAGAGATGGTACGCTAAGGATGTCAGGTTTGGACCTGAAGTCAGGGCCCTTATGCTTCAAGGGGTTGATATCTTAGCCGATGCCGTAGCTGTTACTATGGGGCCCAAGGTAATTGCATAAGTTTCATGTGTTAAACCATGGTTGAATAGATATAGCAGAATTTTTTAAATAATTATTTTTTATTAATTAGGGCCGAAATGTAATCATTGAACAGTCATGGGGTTCACCTAAAATCACTAAGGATGGTGTAACAGTTGCAAAGGGTGTAGAACTAAAAGATAAATTCCAAAATATTGGTGCTAAACTAGTCCAAGATGTTGCCAATAATACAAATGAAGAAGCGGGAGATGGTACTACCACTGCCACAGTATTAGCAAGATCTATTGCAAAAGAAGGCTTTGAAAATCTAGGAAAAGGAGCTAATCCAGTGGAAATCCGAAAAGGAATTATGGCTGCTGTTGAAAAGATTACAGAAACTTTAAAAACTTTGTCCAAACCTGTGACGACTCCTGAAGAAATATGCCAAGTGGCGACAATTTCAGCTAATGGTGACTTATCAGTGGGTAATTTGATTGCAGATGCTATGAAGAGAGTTGGAAAAGATGGTGTCATTACTGTCAAAGATGGCAAAACTTTGAAGGATGAACTTGAAGTTATTGAAGGGATGAAATTTGACAGGGGATACATTTCACCATATTTTGTAAACACAACTAAAGGTGCCAAAGTTGAGTATCAGGATGCTCTAATCTTATTCAGCGAGAAAAAGATTTCTTCTGTGCAGAGCATTGTTCCAGCATTAGAATTAGCAAACGCCCAAAGAAAACCTTTAATAATAATTGCTGAAGATATTGATGGGGAAGCTCTAACAACTTTGGTTGTTAATAGGTAATTTTGTAAAATGAACAAAATTTTAACATTTTGAAATTTTTAATTATTTAGATTACGTATTGGACTTCAAGTTGCTGCAGTAAAAGCTCCAGGTTTTGGTGACAATCGAAAATCTACACTTCAAGATATGGCTATCGCTACTGGAGGCATTGTATTTGGAGATGATGCGGATATTGTCAAACTTGAAGATGTCAAACCATCCGACTTGGGGCAAGTTGGGGAAATTGTAATTACTAAAGATGATACACTACTGTTGCGAGGTAAGTGTTAGATGGTAATATAATTTAGTTTTTCATATTTAGATTTGATATTTTGAAAAAAATAGAAGATTCTTAAGATAATACCAAGTTTTAGTTTTTTTGATTGATTCTATTTATTCCTTTGGAAATTCTTCAATAAATTCTTCTTAAATCTTTTGCTAATTTTATTGTTAAGATATCATAAAGTTTATAGGTGGGCCCTAGTCCAAAAATTAAAACAAACAAAAATATCACTTACCCATCAAGAATCAAATAATTTGACAACACTAACAAATTGGATAATGTATGTAAAAACTTAAGATTCCTTTGAAATGAGTGTGAACACTTTTAGGAAAGGGCAAAAAGGAAGACGTGGATCGCCGCGCTGATCAAATTAGGGATCAGATAGAGAACACAACTTCAGAATATGAAAAAGAAAAGTTGCAAGAGAGATTGGCTCGTCTTGCTTCAGGTGTTGCCGTAGTGAAAGTTGGTGGTAGCAGTGAGGTTGAGGTAAACGAGAAAAAAGATCGTGTCACAGATGCCTTGAATGCCACTCGAGCTGCCGTGGAAGAGGGAATTGTTCCTGGAGGTGGCACCGCATTGTTGAGATGCAGTTCTAGTTTAGATCAGTTGAAACCTCAAAATAAAGATCAGGAAATTGGTGCGTTACCTAATTTCTTTTTTATAGTGGTATGAATATAATCCTTTTAGGAATTGAAATTGTACGAAGAGCTCTTAGGATCCCTTGCATGACTATTGCCAAAAACGCAGGGATAGATGGAGCTGCAGTTGTGGCGAAAGTTGAACAACAATCTGGAGATTATGGTTATGACGCTTTAAACAATGAGTACGGAAATATGTTTGAAAAAGGAATTATTGATCCCACAAAGGTATTAATTAATTTGTTGTGTGGAATTTACAACTATAGCTTTGTCCGAATTTACCAGGTTGTCAGAACAGCTTTAGTAGATGCATCTGGAGTAGCTTCACTATTAACAACAGCAGAAGCAGTTATAACTGAAATTCCTAAAGAGGAACCGGCAATACCAGCAGGTGGAGGAATGGGGGGCATGGGCGGCATGGGTGGAATGATGTAAATTTACAAGACTTAAAACTCAAGAAAATCATGTCTGTCAAAAATAATTTTCGTTAAGTGTTTTTGACAGAAAATTGTGCAAGTGCAAAGACCTGGTTCAACGCAAATGTCTTTATTTGTGTCGGGGTTTGTATGGGTGCATCCAGAATTTTTTTTTTAATTGATTTTGAATTTTTTTAAAGACTGTGCAGCTCCTTTTGTTTCATGTTTAGAGACTTGCTGTCATCATTTTATAAGTCATCTGTCGATCTGAGCCACTGCATTTAATTTTTGTATGTAATTGTAGTTGCTGGTTTTTAATAATAAAATTTCCAATGATGTATATTGTTATAAATATATTGTTATAATTTTTTAATTTTTGTAGTTTTCAATTCCGTTCACAAATTAATCGGTTCGCGTGCTTCTCCCTACTGTTTTGGGCACCTTTTTATTTGTTGAATCTTCTAACTCCTTGGGCTTGTAGTAATGTGGTGCCACTTCCAATAACCATTTGCTTTCGATTTCAATTACCTGCCGCATAAACTCTTTTGTTGTGAAAACTAATTCATGATAGAGGATCCACCTGGGCAGGTCCTCGAATAAGGAACTGTTGGGATGAATTGTTACACTCTAACAAAAAAAAAAAATCAAATTTAAACAATTTTACTTGAACTCATTGCACCTAAAGTGAAGAAAAGTTTGAAGATTCGAAATGCAAATCTATTACAATTGCATTATTTAAGTTACTAAGTTGTGTATCCAATTTGATTTAAACGACCTAGGAAGGGTGGAATTTGAGACTACCAAAAAAAATATTGCATTGAGCAGGTGAAGCCAATGAAAAATGAATTGTCATTTGCTCTCAAATATAATTTGATTAAAATCATCTTGCAATCTGTTTTGTTTGCATTTTTACAGAAGACTATATCAATCAAGCAGTGTTTAAAAATCTGTGTCCTTATATATTTATTTGGCTATTCAAGCCATAACAAAGAAGTAACCATATTTGTCCATGACAGATTTCTTGAGAAAGAAGAAAACTAAATTATACAAATCAAAGTAAAGTATTGAGAAAATATTGCAAATTAAATTGTTCCAAGAAAGATGGATAAGTATGTATTTAATAGTTCCGTTAATTAGCTGCATTTTTGGAAAGGATAAAAGATAAATTTTTTAAACACTTTCTTTGCGCTTGATCTACCATGACACCATGAGGTCATATTTTGCCTCTACTGGAGACCATATTAATGATGCACGTTCTAATTTATTTCTTATCAATGAAAAATATAAATAAAGTATCACAATTCCATAAAATAAAACCCAACATTTAAACGGTGCCTGTGACCATCTTTTCTAAGTGACTTCTAAAAGATAACATGACATTTATAGTAGTTGAAATTTGGTGTTTTTTGACAAGACTTTTTGAAGTTGACGAAAGTATTGAATGATTCACAGTTTACTACATTAATTAAACCTAAATTTGAAATACATAATGGATTGTATTGATGATTACTTTGCTGAGTGAATATAGTTGAATAAATTATAAAATAATGACAAATAATAAGGAATACACAACCATTATTATAATGCGCTAAAGCGCTTTTGAAATGAATTTTTTGATTTACCTGATTGTGCTTCACTGTTTTGTAATTGCCACCTTTTGAGAGTCTCGCTATGTGGTAAAAATAACCGGCAGTAATGGCTTTCCTTATATTCACGGTTTCCGTAATATTCGAAACCATTTCAATTTCAACTCTTTGCATTAAACCAACTAGCTGCTCCCGCACATCTCTCGCTCTCCTCATCGACCTGAGGATATAAAAAAATAAAAAGGATTTTTATTAACACATGAAAATTAGCATTCCAACCTATACTGGATAAAATTTTCGTAACACCATTGCGTTGAGTAATCTGTATCCCTCCACTGATTGTAAACATTTAACAAGCTTAAGTGATCACCTGCGATGTGATTAAAGTTTTTTCTGGCGGTATCTGCATGAATTATTTTGTCTTTTGGTCTATAAAAAATTGCACCATTAACGGACAGCATGGCGCTTATGGTTACAACCTCTTCGGAACACTCTTCGGAACACTTATATCTAAAATAAAATTTGCAGACAATAATTACTGCAATTAAGCAACAAAAAGATGTACAATTACATATTTAAATTATAATATATTTGTTGGAGTTTAATCTCCGAATTGAATTTTATAACCATTTAAATTCCCAGCATTTTTTTTTCTTTTCACTAGTATAATATGAGCATTCATACATTCATACTTTTCCGAAGCAAGAAGTGTCTTTGCCATCATAGGATCTACAGGAAACTCGGCCATTCTCCTTCCCAGTTTTGTCAACTCCCCGTGATGATTCAGAGCTCCAAGAGCATATAACTGTTCCAGGGCAAGTATCAGAGTTTCGTGCGGCGGAGGGTCTAGAAAGTCAAAATGAACCAGATCATTTATGCCAAGAGCTTTTAGCATAAGAACTGCGTTCCCAAGATTGATTCGCTGTATTTATTATCTTCCAGCTCATGTTTAAACGACCAAGCTGTGTACAACCTGAAACATTTCCCAGCCGCGACACGTCCAGCTCTACCAGCCCGTTGATTGGCCGATGCTTTCGATATCGGTACAATCATTAAACTTTCCATGCCTAAAATGTTTTTATATAATATGATCACTCCCTTAGAATTGCTTTTACTACTAAGTCACATATTTTGCAAAAAGTAATATGCAACTGAGCAACTTTTATTAATGCTGTATTAATCTTGTAGAATAATAGTGTGGGGAGAACTGTACGCCACTGCATTGAGACATTAAGAATTTTATCACATATCACAATAAAATCCTTAAAGTAATTAAAAAATATATATCACTAACATCAACTCACTCTTCTCTATACCACAAAAGTTAACATTTGCTTGCTGAATTTTATATACAGTTTGTTGCCATATTTATCACAATAAAGTCACTTTAAGCCCAATCAGTCATCTGTATCCCACTAGAACAATAACAAAAAGACAAGGACAAGTGCCCACGCCTAGAAGTCAATTTCATAAAAATAATTTCAAATATTTAGAAACTACACTATATATGCTTTCTCTTAAAAAAAACTGATAAAGATACAATAAATAGAAGTAAGACCGAAAGTTGTAAATTTATATTTGAAAATAGACAACTTTATTTTGATTCCTTTTGAATCATAGTTTGTTTTATTTTTAGATTAGTTTAGTTACTTACATAATAAGGTAGTAGAGTGTCAGGGTAATTATTATTTTTAAGAAAAATAGAACTTTTTGGAAGTCAATGTTAAACTGAGCAAAAAATTAAAATAAGTTAATAAATTCAACAAATGCCAAAATTGCGCATTTCACTTTATTTACCCCGTCCTACTTTTTTGTAGTGTTTCTTAGTCAATTAATTGTAATATATATATATATATATATATATATATATATATATATATATATATATATATATATATATTCTCACGTATTGATTCACGGATGGAAAAATGTGATGACACTATATTCCGGGATATCATCCGTTCGCTCGTTGAACTCCGACTGGAATCCTGCAGACGTTTCGCCAAAATCTCACTTGGCATCTTCAATGCTCGCGCTCCGAAAACACTTCGAACACAGGATTCCAGTCGGATGCAGTATTCCAGTCGGAGTTCAACGAGCGAACGGATGATATCACGGAATATAGTGTCATCATATATATATACATATATATATATATATATATATATATATATATATATATATATATATATATATATATATATATATATTCTCACGTATTGATTCACGGAGGATGGAAAAATGTGATGACACTATACTCCGGGATATCATCCCATCCGTTCGCTCGTTGAACTCCGACTGGAATCCTGCAAATCCTGCATCCGACTGGAATCCTGCAGACGTTTCGCCAAAATCTCACTTGGCATCTTCAATGCTCGCGCTCCGTGTTCGAAGTGTTTTCGGAGCGCGAGCATTGAAGATGCCAAGTGAGATTTTGGCGAAACGTCTGCAGGATTCCAGTCGGATGCAGGATTTGCAGGATTCCAGTCGGATGCAGGATTCCAGTCGGAGTTCAACGAGCGAACGGATGATATCCCGGAGTATAGTGTCATCATATATATATATATATATATATATATATATATATATATATATATATATATATATATATATATATATATATATATATATATATATATATATATATATATATATATATATATATATATATATATATATATATATATATATATATATATATATATATATATATATATATATATATATATATATATATATATATATATATATTATATGTATGAATTAAATTTCACTTAACTCTACCTTATTTTGTTTATTCTAACAGTGGTTTTTACCTGTTCTTGAATTGAAATGATTTTGTTTGGCAAATCCTGGATCTATCACGTAAATAATATTATCTATAGTTAATGAAGTCTCTGCAATATTAGTCGCCAGAATGACTTTTCTAGCCCCAGGAGGAGTTGGTTCAAAAATTTTTGCTTGCATATCACTTGGAAGATTTGCATATACAGGCAAAATGATTAATTCTTTGACTTTTGAACCCAACCTCCTCACCCGATCCTGTAACAATTCTTGACACGTCTCGATTTCATCTTGCCCAGTGAGGAATACAAGAATATCTCCTAAAGGTTGGGTAACATGAATTTGTAACACTGATATGACACATGCATCCACGTAATCCGCTTCGGGGGCTTTTGTGTAATAAATATCTACTGGAAACCTTCTTCCTAAAATTATAATGTAATTAGTTATTTTTAGTAGAGCCTTCTTTTTTTACCTGGAATCCGAAAAATAGGGGCGTCATCAAAAAATTCTGAAAATTTCTGGGCATCTAGTGTAGCACTGGAAATTAATAGCTTCAAATCAGGCCTAAATCTGGCTATATCCTTGACAAGACCAAATAGTATATCAGTGTGTAAAGTTCTTTCGTGAGCCTCATCAATAATCATAACAGCATAGGATTGTAAATCAGGCTCAGAAAGGAATTCTCTATGCAAAGTTCCATCTGTCATGTACTTTATAAGAGTTCTTTCAGAAGTGCAATCTTCAAAACGAATTGCATATCCAACTTCATTTCCGAGCTTCACTCCCATTTCTTGAGCCACACGAGCAGCAACTGACATGGCAGCCACTCTTCTAGGTTGTGTACAGCCAATTTTTTTACCTAACAATGAAATCAATAAACTGTGGGACTTAATTTCAAAAAGAAAAAAATTACCATCTACAGTAAACCCAGATTCATGTAAATACTGAGGAATTTGAGTGGTTTTCCCAGACCCAGTTTCCCCTTCAATAATTAAAACCTGATGTTCATGTACTGCTTGAATTAGATCCTCCTTAAAAGGATATATTGGTAAACTTCTTTTAGTCTCCTCTATACTTAACTTTTTTTTTTCATACTCTGTGAGCTGAGGCTCCTTACTTTTTGTTTTGGTCCCTACAACATGTTTAGAAATTTAATATCAGTTTATGTGTTATTATTATTTAAGTTAAGGTACTATCTGTATCTCCAATTTTTTCACTACTCTTATATTTAACACTGCTACCACATTATTGTGTTACCTGGCATTTGTAGAACTTGAATGAAATCAATCTGATCCTCTAAAAGTAACTCATAATCATCTTCTTTCTTCGACGCATCTTTGGCACCAAATTTAAAGACAGCTGAAGCCATCTGATCCTTTTCCCATTTCTTTTGTTCTGACTGAGGAACTTTTTCCAATTCATCAACTTCCACATAATCTGATACAGAATCTTTGCCCAAATCTCTGGGCATATGATATCTTTGAACTCTTTCAAGTTCTCTTGCCTTTTCATGTTCTTGTGCTAGTTTCAACAGCTGCTTTTTGTGTTCCCGGTCTTTTCTCTCTCGTTCAGTTAGACTAAAAGTTTACTTAACTTGATTTTACCTAGACAATATAAGCAAGACTTACATTTCCTCCTCAAATAAATATTCATCATCTACAATATCTGCCTCTAGTTCAATAAGCTTGTCTTCTTTCCTTTTCTCTAAATATTTCCTCCTGGACTGAACTCGAAGCATGGGAATAATTTTATCCCGATTGGCATTTTCCAATTGCAACCTTTTCGCTGCTTCTTCGTAAGCCCTGCGATCTGAAGCATGGACAATATTTCTAGTTTTAGATGCATCTCGTTTTTTTAATCTTTCTGCGAATGCGTCTCTTTCTTGAAGATCCTGTCGACGGGCTTCCTCTTCGCTGTCTATACTTTCTGAATCTGATTCAGACTCGTATCTTTTGCGAGGTTTTTTGGATTTACTCATAATTGCAACATGAACATTCTTAACAAAACCATCATAGACCAATATGAAGATCAAATATATATAATATTCACTGCTTCACGGGCGAAATTACAAGAAACACTCGACCATTGACGACTAAATGATCAATTCTTCCAGTGTAAAAATTATGAGGTGAAAAAGAGACATTTTGCTATGGTTATGGTAATGTTCTAGTAAACGTGGTGTTTGTTTTGTTATTAACAGGTCTTTTATCTAAACATGTGTACTTTTATTCTCCATTCCGCCTCCTCTTCGTCTAGCTGTCAACAGTCCGTTATAATCGACCACAGAAAACAATAGTTATAAAATGTAGAAGTTAGAAGTTTACTTGCTCCAATTTGTGTATTTATTTATTATGGGTCAGAGCAATTCGAACAGCCAACATCAATTCATGTGGCTGATTATAATTTTAATGTATCGTCTAATGAACTAAAACTTTTTGGAAATCGATGTTAAGCTGAGGGAAAAATTAAAATAAGTTAATAAATTCAACAAAAGCCATAATTCCGAATTTCATTATATTTATCTTATCCTACATTTTGGTAGTATTTCTTGGTCCATTAATTATATTATAAATAAACACAATGATATTCAGTTTTTATATTTCAAAAAAGAAAATAAAGTTTATTGGATTTCTGTCTCATTGCACTCTATGATTTTCGATGTTAAATCGTTATTCGGGGAACATTCGTCAACTGGAACAAAATCCGATAGGGAAGGAATTGGAGATATCAGACTGAGGTCCTCTTTGACTTCAACGAAGGAGAACACTCCACTAGGAACACTCACCGATTGGGAATGCTGGCACTATGTGAAGATTTTTGAGATAGATAAAACTACCGGATGATATGCTTACGTTTACTGATAAGTTTGACATAAGCGTTCTGTGCAGTTTTCTGTGTTCAGTTTCGTGTTCTAAACTTTTGTCGATTTGATTCCTTAAGTTTAAGTTCGAAGAAATACGAAACAATCGTTCCGAACATCTTGCTATGTACTTGATCCTCGATAGAGCACCCAAGGCTTCGGATAAGCGACCTTCTCGCAGTAGTCTATAGAAGCTTCTTTCTTTTGCACATTCCTAAAAAAATATTTTATTTTAAAACTTACTCCGGTTGTCATGTGCTTCAATGATAATATGATGTGAACTAAGCACAAATTTATCTATCTAATGTTTTCAGGTCATCACATGGTTCATAGCTTGTTGAATTTTCATATTTAATTAATAATTCTTACAAATATTGCGGCTATTGCTTTTAAATATATTTTTAACATTTTTGACTTCTTAATTGTATCAGTTTTCTTATCCTCTAATATTTAAAAAGCAAAATAAAGAATATAAAAAATTGAGAAAATTAACATAATAAAAAACTGAACCAAATGGAGGTTTAGAATTAGAGATAAGCAAAATTGATCCTCTCAAATCGTCGTCATTTCTAAACATGGTCAATATGAGATACGTAAATAAAACTAAACAACAAATCTTTTTAAAAAATTACATCATCAGACATAGGGGATGTAGTGGGATGGAAAAAAAGACGATGGGCCATTAACTGAAGTATTGTTTATGACCAGTTATGTTATTTTGTTTTAATCTTTTGATGCAATAATTATATGAAAGTCTTGCATAAAGCTAGTAGATTCTACAGTCTTTATACTCTTGTTTTGAATAGCGAAATATCAAACAATTCACACTTCCCACGCATTTTTATGCATTATATCTTGAATTCATCAATCATCATAAACGTGACTTTTATAGCTCGGAAACATACTTCTGAGTGACTTTCATTTAACACCATCATCTGCGTTTTCCTTAAACACGCACTCCATTTGTGCGTAACTTCTATCATCGTATCCAATGTGACTTTGTCAGAAGGTGTGAGAACATTACCACATTTTTCTAGTTCCTTTAAGAGCTCCGTCCATTGCTCCGATTGCTTGAGCGCAAGGAAATTGTCAGCAAGTAACAACGTAATCTGTATTTTATAAAAGACAATATCAGATAACAATAAATGTATCAATTTTTATCGGTATATATACCTCGTCTTCAACGGATAACTTTTCGTTGTATAGTTGATAAAAGTCGTTGGCAATCTCGACGGTTTCGCGTTGCAAATTGTTAAGTATTTGCACAAGGCAGTAAACTTTCGGTCTACAACTTAAAAACAAGTCGGCGATCGAGGCGCATCCGCTGGACTTTGAGCACATGCAAAACGTTTCGTAGAATTGCACCTTTCCCATAATAGGCAACATGGTATCTTGAAAAATTAAGTTGCAACTTCAAGAAAATTTCGAAGGCAGGGGTATTTCTTATATACGGGATTTTACATAATGTTGAGAAGAAAATTCAGTGCAGATCTAAAAATACGTTTTTATTATTACGGTTTGACATATCGATGGGTGTTGGAACTCCCAATTGTAGGAATGACGCTCAAGTTTATGTGTACAAAAATGTTTTTCCACTCCCATCTGTAAAATGCCTAATTACACACCGATCTAGCCTGCGGGAAGCGAGAAGACCACGTCAGTTTCGTTTCCCACGGATCCGAATCACTTCGGACATTTTCGGGATTTTACCGCACGGGTTTGGGAGCAATTTTTCGGAGATATTTCCCACGTCCTGAATTTTGATGTTTGTCAATTCTGACGGTCATGTCAGTGAATGTATTCGTGCTGTTTTGCGAAAATGTACCCAAAAAGTAACGGTTATAGAAAAAGTATAGTGTGCAACACGTTCGGTAAACTTTTTAACTCACTCGTTTATTAAACACTCGCTCCGCTCGTGTCAAATAAACTCGTGAGTCAGATGCCGTTTACCGCACTTGTTGCATAATATACTATTTCCAAACCACTTACATCAGCGGCGCTCATGTAGACAACTACATTTGTTTTTGCTAAAAAATTGTACACCACAAAGTTGTAGTGTTACTGTTAATTTTTAATTCAAAATAATAGTTGCTATAGTGAACTATTCATTTGACGAATTGTAGTGTGAGATCGAAAAAATTAAAAGCCACTTTTTACTCACTTTGACGCACCAACACTAATTTTTGCAAAAAACAGTGACGTACAGTTTTTTCCGTATTTTAAAGAAACATTTTTGTATATGTAAATATTACCGTTAGTAAAAATAGTTGAGTGAACTATAAAGCAAAGATTTTTCAGTAAATTTCAAATAAACTATAAAAGAAGAAAAAGTTCGGTATCAATTTTCTTTTCAACATATGTTCGTCTATAAACATACTATATAAAACTGAGTGTATGTTTAATATAAGCACTTTTTTGATCAAATCTTTTTTTGGGTGCTTTCCTAGCGATATGTCACATTTTCCAATTATTGTGAGTAGTTACCTAATTACTAGAAGGTGAGAAAAAAATAAAAGATTGTTCGCGTTTTGGGTAGCTAAGCCACTTGCTTCGCGATGACTGAGTTGCAAGATTTAAAGGAAAGGCAGGCCAACATTGCAATTAGGTTTTTGGAAAACATTCACTATTGACCATACCGTAAAGGAAGTTTAATATTTATGCCCATACCAGCTTAGAATGTAAAAGGATCGTTAGATCTCGTTAAACGTTCTGGGAAAATGAGGAAATTGCTGTTCAGAAATAAAATGGTGCAAAGTGCAAGTTGGTGGGTGAAATGTAGAAGCATGTGCAGTATGGCTATATTATCTAATAGCCATATGACACAACGCATTGTTATTTTCTAAATTGTTATGATTTTTTAAATTGTAACGAGTGTTTCCTCATAATTTGCTACCCCTCTTTTTTTATACTAAAGATATAGGAAAAAAGTTCTGAAATTTATTCATTGACACTTTAAATTGCATAACAAAAAAACAAAAATAGAGTTTAAGAAAAAATAGCAACAAAAATGTGTATTATTTTTAAATTAAAACTTGAAAACTTGAAAACTTGAAAACCACATCATAATTAAAGAATACTAAACAAAACCGAAGCGACCATCATAGCTAGAATCAGTTTACCCAAAATTTCTCCATTCGGACCTGTTTTAACCAGTAATTCTTTGTTTTCGGCACGAAATATTGCCATGAGTAGGGACACGATGCCCTGTCCGGTGTCGGCAGCTCTCCAAGTGATCAAGTAAGGAATACATTGCGCCACTTCACATAAATCTACTAAAGCTCCTAGTGCCACCAACTTTATAGTAAAACAAGACATCTGCAACAAACACCTTTCACTGGCTATAACGATTATTTTACATACATGTATTACTTATTATATATGTATTACTTAGTTATATATTAGTTTCGTAATTATTTTGAAAAAAGTCATAAAAGCTCCGACTAAAATTATCTTCCAGTTCGTTCATTAATATCTACATTAAGTTTTTAATTTACAAATCCAACATAATTTAAGTGATTCCGCTGCAAATATTTTTCTCTACTCATTATTTTAAAATATAAAATTATGCACCGATCAAGCATGCGGAAAGTGTCACTTTCGCAGGTCAGCATCATTGCGCACCCTATAGATACTAGAGATATAGAGGCCCAGCATATGCTAATAATACAGGAACTTATAAAGCAACTATGAAAATTTTTTTGAGGTCAATTCAACATGCGCATGATTTAAAATCTGGCTTTTAACTAGTAACTTTGCGGTATTCAACAACCAACATGTCCGCTGACAGATTGTCAATAAGTTAGCATGCGGCATTTTTACCGCAGTGTTTTCTCAAAATAGACCTAGATCTCATTACAGGTTCTCGCAAAACGAGTTAAGTGCGTGGATATCGTTGTTTAGAAAGAAAATATCGCAAAGTGCAGGTTAGTGTGTAAAATTTAGAGGCACGCGGAATATATTGTTTTTCTCCTTAGTCCTGCACACTGGATCTTTTATAGTATATTAAGCAACAAGTGTGGTAAACGGCATTTGAATCACGAGTTTAAGCGGCACGAGCGAAGCGCAGCGGAGCTAGTGTTTAATAAACGAGTGCATTGTATACTTTTCAAGGACCCTTAGCTTTTAGGTATATTTTTGCAAAACAACACACATTCATTCACAGGAAGTCTCCGAAAACATCCGACTGTTCCCAAACCTATGTGGTAATAAGCCGGAATATCCGAAGGGGCTCGGATCCGTGGAGCAAGATACTCACGTGGTAAAGTGACCCTTTCCGCAGACACGCATAATTAGATATTTTACGGAAGGGAGTACAAAAAATTCCTTATGTAAGTACGTTTGCATAGGGTATATGCTTGTTTGCATAGCATATCAAGTACCGTTAAATATTTTGTGATTATTCATCCAGTAGTTGCAACTTATTGCAATGAAATCAGTATTTACTTGGGTAATATCCAACAATAGGTATACTCCGTCCATTTTGATAAACTCATCGCAAAATTCATTCGACGTGGGAAAATGCATCCAGACAAAATTCAAAACGAAAATGATCAATTTTGGATCTTGTATTGGGTCTTCGTTTGTTGGATTGACGTATCGTTTCAAATAAGCCATCGCCAAAGAAATGACATCAAGCACTTCGGAATTTGTTTCGCAAAAATGTTGTAGGAAATTGAAGACTGATTTTAAACAATTTTGTTTTTTATGATTTATAGGTCCAGTTTTAATTAAATTCTTGGCTAATTCTGAAACTGTTAAATGCGATCACTTTTTTCAAGTCATTTATACAAACCTGTGACTATAAACAGTCCCTTATTATATCTGACTGAGTTTTTAACACTGGAATTGTGGCGAGAAAATCGATCTAATACTTCTAAACAGTTTGAAACTATGTCGTAGCCCACAACTTCCCGACTTTTATGTACCACTCGCAATAAGCTAAAATTTTTCGTTTTCTCTTGAAAGCCATATTAGTTATACCGGGACGATACCAGTGTGGCCCCCCATCTTCCAGAAAGTCATCAATTCCACACGGTATCAGGTGAGTCAGCACACTTAGCACCAAATCAAGTAGGAAACATCGTTGTAAAGGGTTCCACGGAATTTGCTGTTCATTATTTATCAATTTCATTAATCCTATCATAACTCTGCATTCTTCTATTATCTATTATATTAACAAAATGTGATGTTTTATTTTTGAATTACAAAAAAAATGTTTTTTTTATTTATACCTTAGCGCCAGTTATGCAATTGGAAAAATACGAAATGCACACCAGAAGTAAGGAAAGGCACCTGTGGTCTTCAGAACTTGTCGAAAATCGAATTTTGTTTGACCAATGTGCACTGTTTTTGGAAAAATTTGATTCAAAGGCCATTTTAGCAATATCTAAAATTGTGCAATTTTGTTGTTAATATGTTTTGCGATCCTAGAAAGGAAGCATAATTTTACAAACTAACCATAGGCAAACGTTGTATTTCCCGAAAGCGCGTCTGGAAAAATGTTCAAGAGCTTTATCAGGATTGCGAGAATATTATTCCTTTTTAAGGCTCTTCGCTCTTTGATAGTGCATAATCTAAAAGCCCATTGGAGGTTCCTGCAAAACCACGACCAATCTCCAGTATTAATGAACCAATGAATTAATTTAGCGAAAACGCTAACAGTAATAACAAAAAAAATAGTTCGCGATATACATTTTTTTCTTTCCAATATCAGATAAATTTTTGGAAAATGATTCGATTCAAAATATACTATTTTTTGTATGGGGCGTGTTTTTTTAGGGACCATAGAATCTACAATACAAATATTTATTTTTTGAAATAATTTTTTCTAGATATTTAATTGTTCTTAGAGAAAACTTGTATTTTAATTTAATGTTTTGATAATACAATGAACGTACGTTTGTTTTAAAAAAATCTGTTGTATTCTGCTTTGAGAACTCTAACTAAAACATGTCTTTTCGGGATCGGCAAATTAGCTAGTACCGATGAGAGTTAATTAAGATAAAATAAAATCATTTTCGGAGATAACGACGAGTGATAAAATTGAAGGCGACAATTATCCATAATGCATATTTTGTACTAGTACCTCGTCGAAGTCCCCCGGTATTTTAATTGTCTATTATAAGGTTGTTCGGAAAGTCATTTCGTTTTTTCCCGTCAGAGGAATTAATTACGTTTTTTCGAAACCAACTTCACACTTAAGCCGCATAACCATTATATGTCTTGAGAGCTGATATTGCAAGGCTTGTGTGTGAAAAAGTTCTATTAATTCTACGCAGTAGTTTTTGGTTGGTGCCCTTTTAAATATGGAGAGCAATAAGCAGCATTTTCGTCATATTTTACTTTTTTACTTCAGAAAAGGTAAAAATGCTGTCCTAGCGAGAAAAAAATTGACGGATGTGTATGGAGAAGGCGTGTTAACAGTACGCCAGTGCCAGAACTGGTTTGCAAAATTTCGATCCGGCAATTTTGATGTCGAAGACACCACGGTCTGGAAGGCCGGTCGAAGCTGACAAAGATGCGATAAAGGCATTAGTTGATGCAAATCGGCGAATAACCACACGAGAGATCGGTGAGAGATTAAATTTGTCGAATTCGACTGTTTATGGCCATTTGAAAGGCATGGGCTTAACCTCGAAGCTCGATGTGTGGGTGCCCCATGTCCTTACGGAGCGAAATTTGTGTCGTCGCGTTGACGTGTGTGATTCGCTCCTCAAACGTCAAGAAAATGATCCATTTTTGAAGCGGATTATTACTGGGGACGAAAAATGGGTTGTATACAACAATGTTAAACGCAGAAAAGATGAACCGGCTCAAAGCGTGTCAAAAGCCAACATTCACCAAAAAAGGTGATGCTCTCCGTTTGGTGGGATGTCAAAGGAATCGTTTTTTTTGAGCTTTTGCCGGACAATACAACGATTAATTCAGAAGTCTATTGTCATCAACTGGACAAATTGAATGATTCACTTAAAGAGAAGACGCCCGAATTAATCAACAGGAAGGGTGTAGTGTTCCACCAGGATAATGCGAGACCTCACACACGTTTGGTCACTCGCCAAAAACTTTTACAGCTTGAATGGGACGTACTGCAACATCCACCATATTCTCCAGATCTGGCGCCTTCCGACTACTATTTGTTCCGGTCCCTGCAAAATTTTTTGGATGGCAAAACCTTTACCTCAAATGAAGATGTCAAAAACCACCTGAACCAGTTTTTTTGCCAGCAAGGACCAAAACTTTTATGAGAGGGGAATTATGTTACTGCCAGAAAGATGGCAAAAGGTGTTGGACCAGAATGGCCAATATATAATTTAATAAAATATTTATTCATTATACGAAAACTGTCTTTCATGTTCCCCAAAAAAAACGAAATGACTTTCCGAACAACCCAATAAAAAAACACGGTATGGTGTGTCTCAAAGTCTCACTTTTGTCACTTGACTTCTGACGCATCGTCCCAAAAAAAAATTATAACCTTCATGCCTATTGTTACTTAGTAAACCTAATAACCAATAATTTATTCACATGTAAGGGACAAGACAGGGGCGAGTCAGGTGGTTGTCGTCCCGGTACAGTAGCAGTGTTGAATAGCCCGTTTTACAGTGCGTTTCGAACCAGCTTCTTACGAGAATATAACAAATTTTTCTGTTATGCCGAGTTGAAATTATTTCCCATTTGTAAAAAATTAAAGTAATTTTATAGAGTAGATGATACAAGAGCTTTAAAAGAAACCTGCCTACTTACAAAAACGCAAATATCCTCGCTAAAGGTCATTTTTAACAGTAGAATGAATGAAAAAATGTAGTGGTTACCTTTATCACAACCAAATTGATTATTATTTTGGATATACTGAAAATGAAGAGGATGAAACCAATATTTATAAAATGGGATTCACGATGCAGTATTCAATTGATAGGTTGATTCCGGTAAAAAGTATCAGACAAAAAACGTACTTATTTAGGTAATTATACAGCTTAAAGTTCATCCCTTATCCTGACCTACAACATCGATTATATCGATAATTACTATCTAAAAGAAGACGATGTATTTTGAGACACACCATACCATAACATAAATCTTGTGGGAGCCTGCATGATCGGATTTTCTCGAGTCGGATATTTCAGTAATATGTGAAGAACCATAAGAGCAGTGTCTAAATTTGCTATATCTTGTTGAATATTTGGGAAAGGTGGTTTAATATCGGGGAATCTCTCTTGCCACGTCGGTTCAAATCTGATAACGATGCTGTTGACGGCGTTCTGCTGAAGAAAACTGTTATCTACAAATTTTGCGGATTTAAATTCTCGAAAAATTGTAAATTTTTGACCTTACAAACTCCAGGGCATCCATGTAAAAGATATCCAATTATATCCAGAATAAGGGGATAAATATTTTCGTCGACGATGTGAAGTATTTCTCCCAGTACATCAGGGAGTTTACTCTGCTGAGCTTTTTCCCGGCGGACAGTGAGCGGCAGATAATTTTTTTGGTTTGGAAAATCTTTTGCAAGCAACTCATGGATCAATTGTGCGGTCATAAATTGTATCGGTTTACCCAGTGCCCAAACTAGCAAATAACCTGAAACATAAGGTTTTGATTGCTTTGTTTTGTAATTTTTATTTTCTTACCGAGCCACGAGAAATACTCAATAATATCCGCATTATACGAGAGTAAGTCAGACGACTTTGCTAACTTAGGAGGAATTGAACAAAGTTGCAAAATATCTCGCAGGTGTTTCTGATAAAATTCTGATTCCTTGAGTTTGTCTATCAATTTCGTTACGTCTACTAATTCTTTTGCATACTTCGTAAATTGTTAAGTGTATATAATTTTCCACAAAAAAAAGTAAATACTTAATAGGTAAGGATACAAAACCGTCATGGGAGACAATTACAAAGTCATTAAGTATTTTCTTATGTCTTTCGCAGTGATATTTTGTAATAGGATGTTCGATAAGCACCAGTGCTTTTCTAAGCACGAAGGTTGAATCCTTTCCTTTTATGAACTTCTCGCACTTGTGTCTTTCCATGACTAAGGTTTGACAGAAATGTCATTGTAATGTCGATTTAGCAACTCTCCATTTTGCAAAATATGTAATTCATATTCGGGCTGAAGTGCTTAAATAAATTAATTTGGTAAGTCGATTTCTGTTTTTTTTTCTGATTAAGTTTAATTTTAAAACAAACTATTTTTGAAAGAAACTTTTAATTGTAAACAAAGTTTTCGCTTTGAATACTCTAGAAATTTACTATAAGGAATAAACATGCTTGTTAATGGAAGAAATCATTAGATCGTCGATACTTCTAGGTGAAATGCAAAATAATTTTAGTGAAAATAATAAGCAACACAAAAATAATCAAGAGAGACGACAAATATATTTATTTTATTAATTAATATCGCTGCAGTTTCTTACTTGTATAAGAAATATATATGTATAATATGGGAAACGCAACAAAAATTGACAACGCAATGTGACCTTTACAAGGTGCAAAATAGTACATTATTAAAAAGTTTACCAAACTCGTTAAATACTATACTTTTTCTACGACCGTTAGTTTTTGGGTACAACAAGAATACATTCACTGACGTGACTATCAGAATTGACAAACGTCAAAATTCAATCAGTGCGGTAATATCTCCGAAACCATCCAATGACTTCCAAACATGTACGGTAATATCCCGGAAATGTCCGAAGTGGCGCGGATCCATGAGACAAGAACCTCAGGTGGTAAAGTCACGCTTCCCTAAGCTAGATCGGTGTGTAATTTTACAGACGGAAGTAGAAAAAAAATACTTTGCAAATCTGATCTTTAGCTTTACTGACTCTTTGTAGTTAAAACTCCTATTAATATGTCCTAAATGATACTGAACAATAAAAAAAATATAGGAATATATGATTGTTAGGTATTTAATTGCGGTTAAATACTTATGAATTTATAATCTTTAGCAGTCCATGTCTAGCTGAAATAAGCTTGTTCTGCTTAAGTGCCAAAATCGCCTCTTTTTACTTTTCCTTTTCATGAACTTCAGGCGATGGGATTAAATGAACTGATTTTATTTCCTCATTCCTATATTCCTCCATCAGTTGATTAATGCTGAGGTCAAAGAGATGAAGTTAGAAATATTTAAGCCTTGGAAAGTAGAATATAAGATAATTTGTAAAACGTTTTTAGATGCTAGATTTTATGGCAACACTTCTGATAATTATAAGATAACTCGTATATCTATTGGGGTGATTATTGCAGTCTTTCCATTTTTAGGTACTAATAATATTCGAAATATCGAAATATAAACCTAAAGCCTAATACGCGTCGCGTAATGTATGTAAATGGGATACGACCGCCCAAATTTGAATTTAAACGTAAATGTAACCCGTATTTTTGGAAGCAGATACATAAGGAACGCCCACTCGAAAGCGGAATGAATTCTTTACGGTCTTCTTAGGTAGAGACCACCATCTCTACTCCTTACTTTCGAAGTCATTGCGACTTTATAAGCCACCCATGCGCAAAAACGGTTTCCACTTTCTCGTAGGTGCGCGCATTGAGCCGCTTTCATTCGGTGTCTCGCGCTCGGTAGGATTCGGCTTCGACCCACGGACCTGAGAAGCGACGGTTTACCTGGAGTTGGAGCCACGGAACGGACATTTGTTGTTTTGTTAGTGGCTCGCAGCAACTATTTATGACGTCAGCGACGTCTTCGGTACTTCGTTTCATTTATTTCGGTCGCGCTGAACGTTTCTTTACAGAAAAGGCACTGTCAAAATGGCGAGGTATTATTATTTCTTGTGCGCGGAGTTGAGTTTGTGGATTGTGCCGTTCCTTGCGTTGGTATCGTACGCCAGTACGAGCAAAGGTAATGCTGCTTTGGTTCATAAACACAATTTTTCATATCCTAGATACTGTTATTTACTCGATTCGTTTGCAAATTTTGATATCTACGTTTATAAATTGCACATGGCGATTAAGAATTAGATCAGATTCCATCGTAAGATAATATCTTCGGGGAATAGTACCGTCAAAAAGGTGCGAATAAGCGAACTGGAGAACGTATATGCAAATTGCCTACTTATTATAATGACATGCTTCGTTTTTTACGATCATATTAGCTAGGCATGTTATAACTTCACCCAAATCATTATGTTCAAGCGTGTCGCCAAAACCGCCAAAGAGCATTATATATGATATATTTTAATTAGCACATTTACCTCATCAATTTTATAATCAAGAAAAAGAGTGCTTCTATCATCTTTCTCTTAAATTACTCGATAACTTGGGAGAGATAAAAACATTTTTAAAAGTTATAAAAATTAACCCCTACTACTCCTACTTTCCGTGCATACTGCATATTTTATCCAAAATTTGATTTACGTCATGAGCAAAATATAATGTCATTTATTTGTTCTTTACATCATTGTGTCTGTTCAGTTGGCAGCGGTCATTTACAAATTTTTTGGTTGGTAAGCAAAATAATTAGTTACTAAATTAAGTTAAGATCTCTTTCTTAATTGATGAATGTTCATTTCAGTTTCAAACTGTTGCAAAATTTAAAAAAATGCTTACTTTGCATCAGTCTTTTAAATATACTGAAAACACCCCAACGCTTCCAACCTGTAATCAAAGACGCTGTAAGTTGCTTGCGGCAGTGTTTAATGAAACTGACGTTTTAAAATGGGCATTTCAGAGCAGGGAGTAAAAAAGAAGCCCAGACGCTAACAAATAGAATTACCATCAATAATATGGTACTTTGCATCTGCGAAATCTTTGACAACATGACAACATCGGTCATTCGTCGTCAGTTTTTTTTATTTCAAGAGTCTCCGAATATCTTTTTGCTGCATTCAAGGTGAAATTGAATACCATTTTTCGCTTTTTCTTCATTTAAATTTTAGACTATTATTATTCAGGATAGACCAAACATTTTTTAGCCGGATTCCATACTTAGGCATAATAAAGGCTAACATGGATTTACTTCAATTGTTCATCAATTCGAGCCTGTGGAATATCGACTTTTTTACTTACTTGTAGTTCCACAAGTCCTAGCGCGCAGTAGTGTAAAAAATCCAAATGATGATACAATTAATGATCACAAAAACTAAAACGAAAACTATGTAATACGTGACCAACATTTTATTGAAATAATAAAGATTTGTCCAGTTTAATAAATATTATAGAACCAGTTTTAGGTAGAGTAATGCAATTTTACAAATTTATTGAAATATAATATTTATTACCATAAAGTAAAAATATTAGTATTATAGCTATTCAGGGGCGTGTCAAATATAACATAAACACAAAATAGTAAAAAACACTTACTGGTTGAACATGTTTTATTACAATCCTGGTTTCATAACAATAACAATTCAACATTCTCGCTAAAAAAGGGCTAAAGGAGACGTGTTATTCTTATTAGGATTATAAGGAAACTTACTAAAATAATTAGAATTTGAATTCTATTTGGCCAAACTAATTTATTTCCTTTTAGGTGTCTCGAGTGATTTGAATGAAATAAAAAGATGCAATGGGTTGCTAGGTGAATTTTATTATACGTTTGAATCAATAGAATCTTACTAGATGGCTAGGGATTTTGGATTATTTCCGAAACTTTGTCCACAGTTTTTAAAGTAAACATTTTAAATATATCTAGTTATAAATTTTCATTTGTTAGAATAAACCAATCTTCTATTAAAGATTTTTGAAAAAAAAACCTTCCGTAAATGTGTTGGCAAAATTAGGTAGTTAAAAAAATACAAGGTGTTGAAAGCAAAATTACTATTCGAAAGACTTTTAACATGATATTAAAATCATTGGAAAATGAAATGGATAGCAACAATTAAAATGGAAAAATTCATTGCACATTTTTTGAAATTACTGATTTCAGAGGTTTCAAAAAATGAAAAACGCGCAAACGACTTGAGATATTGATATTTATATTTCCTAGTAAGAAGCCTGAAACATTCTGAACTTTTTACATGGTAAAAAAATATATTTTTTAAATAATGAAGTATGTGTGTAGGAATTAGGTTCAAAGTATCACCGAATTTGGATTGCTCAATAATTTTAATTTTTGATATATTTCCATATAAAAGGCTAAATTTTTTTTGAAAATGAAGTTTTACTTTCAACTCCCGGTATCTTTTTAAGGCTAACATTTGACACCGCATCTAATGAACTGATTTTTTTATTTCTAGACTGAGACAAATTTTATACCATTTGTGAAAAAGAATTCTGAAATGAAATATCTAATAACACTTAAGCGAAACCTTATTCTAGTTAAAAATAAAAGAAAATAGTTCATTTATTTACCCATCCGGCGTTTCTAAAAGCATCCGGCATCGCCAAAATTCCTGTACCAACATTGCCTTTTAGCAAATGTACCATAGTATCGAAATTAGATGTCGGGTGTTCGACGTTTCGGTTACAAACCGGATCATCATCGCCGGCGACAACGTTGCCAATATTCAGCGAGACGTCTACGTCTTCCTTATCCAGGAGTCTCTGCTCCTCGTTGTGCTTTCCCATGTGTAGTTGTTTCTCGGGGATCATATAATCCTGAATAAATATTTGTTTTAAATGTTGCCAAGGAATGTGAATGTCTTATTGTGTATGGTAGGTCCGTGGTTTATAACTATTAACACAAAAATAACCAAAACAATGTATTTAAAATCACAGAATAATAAAATTGACCGACATGTTTAATTTATATTAGAAATATACGATTAAACTTTGTTTTTAAGCAACGTCAAAGTGACAATACTAGTCTCAACTGACGTCAGCAGAAAAAAAAATTAACGGCTTTTTGGTACTATTTTTCGAACTGCATATTTAATCTCGGGTTGTTTTTTACAATTTTAAGGCAAAAATAATAAACTAGTAGTAACGGCAACATATCTTCGCCCTGTATTTAGGTAAACAGCAAATTCGCGTTAAAGTGCATACGCTCTAGACATTGACTAGATGGTAATATTTGTTTATGGTACTTGCATCCATTTAAATATTTAATCCATTAGTACATATTATACAATATTCCTACGCATTTGCAAGAACTTTACCAAACTTGAATAACAACTTTCGTTTTGTCATTTGTAAAATGATACGTAGATTGTTTTACTATACAGTGTGTCCAAGATAAGGATGCACAGCATGGGGATCTCGGAAACTATAAGAGATACAGTGTCGGTTAAATTAGACAAAAGTTGCGCATTTTGATACCGAACAAGATCCCGTTTTACAAATTTGAAAATTCCAAGCCGTTCCGGAAATATCCGAGAAAAACCGAAATATTGCGATTTCGTTTTTATTATTTTTTAAAGCTATTTGAAAAGATATGAAAAAACGGAAAACACTTTTCCATTGGCACTTTTTAATCTCTCCAAATTGACGTTAACAAATTTTCATTACAGCGTTTGGATTCCATGGAACTACCATCAACTTTGATTTTTCTTATGGGACGGAAAAAAAGTACACACAGTATTAGGTTGTGCTTTTCATTGCGAATTCAACGATGTACGATACAATATGGTTACTTATGTTTTTATCCAGAAAAATGGATTTTTAATACATTTCAGCATTTAAATGAAGTAGGCCATGACAAAATGACATCCAGTCAATTTCAATGACACATTAATGTTATTTGTCTTTGTTATCAGTCGATCATAAGTTTATTCCTTTAGTTATTGTTTTTGTATTTTTATTGTTGTTGTCTTTTTCTAATTTATTTTGTTCTACAATGGAGGGAGGTAATTTTACAAACGAAGAAAAATGTGATATGCTGTCTTGCTACATCTGATGCCAAAGAAATTGTGTGGAAGCCGAGCGTATGTATTCTAACAAATACCCAGAGCGGAGACAACCTGACAAGAGCATTTTTCGGCGTTTGTTATTTAATCTGAAAGAATATGGATCATTTAAGAAGCCTGCATTATCCCGACAAAAACCTTCCAATGAAGAAAACCAATACATTGTTCTACAATCTGTTATCGAAAATCCACAAACTTCTACCAGAGAAATTGAAGACCAGAATGGGGTAGCTAAATCTACAGCTCAGTTTATTTTAAGGAAAAATGAATTTAAGCCTTACAAATTCGGAATATGTCAAGGATTAAAACCGGGTGACGACGAACGACGTAGACATTTTTGTGAGTGGTATACCAGGATGTGTGATGAGAGTTTTAATTTTCCATATAAAGTGATTTGGTCTGATGAAAGTATGGTGACCAATAACGGTATTTATAACAGGCGCAATACACACTATTGGTCGCAACAAAATCCACGTGTTAATAGACTATCCAGACATCAAGTTCGCTTTGGGTTTAATATTTGGTGTGGGATTTTTGGTAGCAAGATTATAGGCCCTATTTTCTATAATAATTCCTTAACTTCCGAGCGGTACCTTGACATCTTGAGGCACGATTTAGAAGATGCCTTAGATGATTTACCGCTAGGCGCTGTGCAAGACTGCTGGTTCCAACAAGATGGTGCCCCAGCCCATAACTCCAGAGAAGTTCGCCAATATTTAACTGAACGGTTTGATGGAAAATACATTGGGACTTACAGTGAAACACCTTGGCCTCCAAGGTCCCCGGACTTAACTCCCTTGGACTTTTTCTTATGGGGCTACATAAAAAATGAGGTATTCAAAGAATGTTTTGACAACGAGGAACAATTACGTCAATCAGTACGAGCAGCGTTTAATAAAATTACTCCTGAAATGTTAAGTCGTGTTTTGGAGTATACCGTGAGACGGGCGTACTTATGCCTAGAAAATGGAGGTCATTTATTCGAACATTTGTTATAGAATTTGTTTTTCATTAACTTGTTGGATTTAGTTGTTATGTTAAATGAACAGTTAGAGTTAGTAAATAAATAAACACATTAACTCGAACTTGTCAACCATTTTCTTTTGCCTTTCATCGTTCGGATCTCATGGCCTACTACAATAAAATACTAGAAATGTATTAAAAAGCCATTTTTCTGGATAAAAACATAAGTAACCGTATTGTATCGTACATCGTTGAATTCGCAATGAAAAGCACAACCTAATACTGTGTGTACTTTTTTTCCGTCCCATAAGAAAAATCAAAATTGATGGTGGTTCCATGGAATCGAAACGCTGTAATGAAAATTTGTTAACGTCAATTTGGAGAGATTAAAAAGTGCCAATGGAAAAGTGTTTTCCGTTTTTTCATATCTTTTCAAATAGCTTTAAAAAATAATAAAAACGAAATCGCAATATTTCGGTTTTTCTCGGATATTTCCGGAACGGCTTGGAATTTTCAAATTTGTAAAACGGGATCTTGTTCGGTATCAAAATGCGCAACTTTTGTCTAATTTAACCGACACTGTATCTCTTATAGTTTCCGAGATCCCCATGCTGTGCATCCTTATCTTGGACACACTGTATACCAGTCCACTTCCAATTCGTGTATATTTCTCATATTTTTATTGAAGGTTTCCCAAAGAACACTTTTATGATAAGGAAAAAAATTAAGTTTTCGCAAAAAAAATCTTTTTGTATAGGAACAATTTGTTCCTGAAGCGAAATATGTAATTTTTTATTATTGTTGTATCCACTATCGAAAAACGTCGTACACAATACTATTATTAACATTCTATTTAGACTCCATAAAAATTACTTTTCTTTCCGAGTTTTAATGATATAGAAGTTGTCGGAATAATAAAATAACTCTTCAATAATAATTACCTATTATTCTATCATTAGCCATTTACTGAAATTCATATTCATTATGAAACGTAAAATATAAATGGCCAAAATATAAAAATATTTCAACAACCGGAGCGGGAGAAATCCATAAAATTTGTAAACAGTATCTTCTCATCCATTCTATATTTATGATTTTTCGGCCAGTACAGTAGATAGATATAATAAATATTTTGGTATTATAGTAGGCTGTAGAAGTTTTTAGATGAGAAGATGGTGAAAAGCAAGAAAAAAATAAACAGTGAGAAAAGATCTATACTGTTTTCGTTGTTTTTTCTAAACAATTGAAAGAAGTAGCTATCGATCAAAAAGCTCACCAGTGCATTTTTCTTGCAAAATTAACGAAAAAGAAAAAATTATAAAAATAAGAAATTTCAGCTTTGCAGAATGATTCAAGTTCAAAAATTCAAATGGAGACGCTGGTCCTAGCGTCGCTTTTTTGATGGATTCTTTACATATTATATATTATATTTATCAAATCGAGTACATATTTTTTTGACATCATGTTTTCTTAATCAAGAAAATTGAAAACATACTATTAAATGGCTAACTACGTTCAAAATTTCAGCTTTCAACGAATTAAAAAAATAATTGAAAAAATATGGCTAGAATTATTATAAAAATGACCAGAAGGCAATGACGGACAGGACAAAATGCAGTAATATATAATTTAATTAATAATTAAATGCTAATGCTACTCATAGTTGTCTCTCTACTATTCTACTAGTTTTCTCTATGATTCCATCGTTATCAAGATGAGAACCCCTGGATCAAATTTAAACAAAATGACAAGAAGTGTGGGTTGCTGCTCTGGAAACAATCAATAAAATGTTAAAAATTAGATTTCGCCGAAATAATTTCGATTAATTTGAGCGGTCGCCTTTAACCAACCGTCGACCCAAATTATGGATGTTGGCGTTATATATCTAAAGTTCGCCCTGCGAATTAAGATCCCACACTGTTTTAAATTGACGCGACGGTTCCTTGCTCTCAATTAGTTAAAGGGAAAATGGATAATAATTGGCAATTGACAGTGTTGTACTAAAGTAGACTTTTGATGTTAAATATATTTTATTTTATATATGGCAAGAAAATAAAAACGAAATAATGAATGAATTCCAATATCATCATAATAAAATACAAAATATACGCAAATAGGCAATAGCCGTTCATGCAACATTTTGTTAATTTACCCATATAGTTAAAAATAGTTTGCTGCCTCAATCCCAGTCCCTTAAAATGGGATAAAAGTAAGTGTGTGTTACCAGTATTTATTAAACCCAAAAAAATATGTTTAATCAATCGGTCTTTAATTCATCTACACTTAACAAACTGCCTTAGACAATAAATGACACTGAAGTGATTCATATGTTATAAACTTGTCCTTGTTCGTATAATTTATAATAACATTGATACGTTTTCCCTAATTCAGTTTTCAGTGTTCTTTTCAGTCAACGAAACAGTCTATGGCTTCCTCGACCCTTTGAATGGAAAAGTGTGGAATTAATGTGCTCGTACCCACTTGTTAGTAATGGTTTAAATACTTATTTCCTCCCATAATATAGTTCCACTATAAACTAATTAATAATATAAATACTACACACTGCTATTTATGTCAGCGATTTAAGGGCAAGCGGAACTCCCCTATAGAATTGCTCAAATTTTACTAT